ATTATCTCCCTGGTTATACAATTTGAGACTGCCGTTTATCTTCTCTTTCTTCGTGTTCACCAGCTGTAAACTCCGACAGAAAGTTTAGTTGTTCTTCCTCTTCTGGACTCTAGTCCTATTCTAGAAATGAATGCTACATATATATCCGTTTAACAGATCTGATTCATTTGAATGCTGACTGGTGGTTCCTTCCCTCTCAGGCAGATGCACTCCGCCTTCAAATGAAACTCACAGATGTCAACAACACTCACAACATGCTCTTGTGTAGGCAGTTTGTCTATTATTGTTTTACCGACAATGTGAGTAGTATATTAGTTTAAAAAATCCAAATCAATTTTAAGGCGATGCCGCTCTATATTCTTAGTAATTTATTCACTTCTTTATTCGCTGTCTGACTGACTGACTGACTTTCTACCCCACTAGGACATCACACAAGCGATAAACACCCGATGACACAAAGTGCCACCATGCGGATGAGGATCGCCGTGGAGAGGTCCCAGAAACCGCGTTCAGACAATTGGCCATTTTATGGCATGCCTATATTGCGGCCCCTGGCAAAAGCCAGGGTAGGGCTACAAATAACGAAAAATTTCGTCCTAATAAAGACGAGAAGGATTAAATTATTCACTGTCTACCTCCTGTTGACTTTATATAAGGAAAAAAAAAACGATATCCTTTTACGAGGGGGAGGTGGAGGTCAGTTGCCGCTCGAGGTCAATGCGGCTCCAGTGGTCTGAGGTCAGTTGCGGCTCGCGTGAGGCTCGGGGATAATGCTCAGATAAGGCTCTGGGGTTGTGGCTATGTTTCAGTGAGTGGTGGGGCTGGCAGAGCAGATAACCCGAGGGTTTCAGGGACGGCGCGTTAAGCAGGAAGGGAAAGACGGGGGGTGGGGGGGGGGCGTTTTAGGGGTTATATAGTTGAATTAAGGGCTCTCTTCCGAATAACGGTCCCAAATGAACTACGCAGACAGTTAACCCAAACAGAGCCTCACTCATTTGTGAAATTTGCATTTCCTTTGCGGCGATTAAACCGTGTCAAAAGTAGGATTAACTGCGGACGACATTTTCGCGAAACGCAACGGATTTTTTTTTTAACGGTGATTACACGGCGGCAAAACTAGGATTAACTGCGGACGAAAAAACATTACCGACCCATGAAAATACTCCCGATAGCGCTATTCTACGGCACGGCCCGAGTTATATGTAAGTTGCGGACCGCTTATCGCCGACTATAGTGCCCCCTCCGTGAGTATCCCCCGCACCGCTACGTATAAAATATATATGCTATATATTAAAATATATAAAAGTGATTATAGTAGGGGTTGGTGTCAGCTGGACCTCAGGGTGGTTTGTGGTCAAACAGCATAATCAACAAGTGTCATGCCGATAAGTGGGTCGGATCATGTCTTTCCATGGTCTGGTATTAGTTATTAGCTGATGATTGTGGTAGTGTACAGCTAGGTTGTGATATAGGTGGTCATTATCTACAAGCATGCCGGATGGGGCCAGGGTCATTAGGATCGCCTAGGCATATGGTGCTATAACATTATATAGAGTAAAAATTAAAAAATATATATATATAACAAAGTGGCAGTGAGTCAGTGATTGAGTCAAGTTGTCGTGTCAGTTAGTTATATGAGGAGTTTTAGGGGTCATTGAGGGTCATCTTTGCCTCCTGGCCATATGGTACTATGATTTTTATTAAGAGTAAAAATGAAAAATTACACCAACAGAGCAGGTGCCATGTTATATTATTAGGAGCAGACGGTTCAGTGAAGGGGACATGTTGTCATGCTGGTTAGTTACATAAGGAGTTTTAGTGGTCACTGAGGAGTCACGATATATGGTGCTATGACTTTATACAGAGGGAAAAATGAAAAATTACAGGAAAGTGGTGGGTGTCGTGGTGCAATGTTAGGCACCAGTGGATTAGTGAAAAAAGGGGTGGGGTCAGGTTGTTGTGTTGGCTAGGTATATGAAGAGTTTTAGGGATAATTGAGGGGTCACAGTATATGGTGCCATGACTTTATATAGTGTAAAATGTGAAAAAATAATTATGACAGAGGGGAGGGTTTCATGGCGCAGTGCTAAAGACCAGTTTCTTAGTGAGGGCTCAAGTATCATGGTGACTAGTAACATGAAAGGTTTAGTTTCATCAAGTCCATTTGGGCATGTGAAGTAGTAACTTAATATAGGGTTATATGTAATACATTCTTATTATGGAAGTCAGAACAAATAATTCATTCATTTTATATAAGACCAGTTTTAATATACGTTTGTAAGTCATGAACAATGTTTAAACAAGCAAAATATTTAATTTACGCTACATAAAAATAAATGTAATTTTTACAAAAAAATCACCATGGACTGACAAAATGAGTAATTATAATGTTCAGAAAGAGATGAATATCAGAAGTAATGAGTCAAGATTTCTTTTGGCCATGGCAAAAGAATGAGTGAACAAACAAACTTTATTTTTAGATGGCTAAGAACTGGGCAGGCAGAGCCTTTTTTTTTTAATCATGCCCTTGTAAAGAAGAGAAAAGATGGATTATATTTCTTTCAGTCTAGGGAGTTTAGCAGCAGAGGCCCAAGGGTTGGTACAGAGAAATGAATCTTGCATTCATTTGAATGCTTGAACTCATTTGAACTTTTCTAGGTAGGAAACTATGAACATAAGATGCGGTCCTTAAGACTGAAAGAATTAATAATATTTGAAGTCATTTGGGATAAAACCAAGAGTAGACTGCAAAGAAAAAAAAGGGTACAACTCACATTTCCGAATAAAGAGAGTGACTTCCCTTTCCATTCATGCCTCATCGGGTCGCATCGCCTCTCATATGTTGCGGAGGTGTAATATATTCCTAATTTTTAACGGTTCAACCTTCACCTCTTTTCTCATGTTCTCACCGCTCACTTGAGTAATTATATTCACATTCTTCTATTTGCTCGACGGTTCAGGAGTTTAGATTGTTTGTTTGTTTTAGTATCCAGAAGCCATGAGTTGTTAACCCTTAGGCTCGGTATTATGGATATCGCAACCTTTCGGCCTTGATTCCATTGTAAATACCGTAAATCTGGGATAAATGTGGCTTTCCTGCCTACCCCCGGGATTGAACCCGGACCACAAGGAGTTCGTCACCCGGTCTCCGCGCAATCCGGTTTAGCCAACTACGCTAGAGAGCCGGGCCAGGAGTTTAGAAACTGGGATGTTTTTCTATTTCTATTTTTGTTGGTGGTCACTTCTATTTCTGGGGCGAAGCCACCACCAAAAAACGTAGAAATACAAAAACATCCCAGTTTCGATATTCACGAACTGTGGCACCTGCGGTGCATCCCTCTGCATTACATCTTACTTGTACACAGATGCCTGTGGTGCCTCAAAGAGACTCATGACTACACAACCTCCCACAAACATTACATATGGTGAGTGAATGCTGAATGAAGCCATATGCCTATCATAACACCCCCACAACACAAGACAGGCCGTTTGACCAGCTGTGGCATGAATGAGACTGGAAGTAACTCTCGCCGTGGTGACACTACCATGATTAGAACTGAAAAAAAGATACTAGGTAGCCATGAAATTTGGCATGGATGTGTACATTTTATGCTTGAGAACTACATATTAGATCAGAATATGAACTGACGATTATCATGCTTATTATAATTAGCATAAAAGACAAAGAAATCTGAGAAAACATGATAATCTAATCAACAAGGCACTTGAAGAAGAATAAAAGGATAAGAAGAGGAGTGAAAGAAGAAGAGGAAAGAAAAGGGTGAGAGGGTGGGAGAGCCCTAAATTCCTGACTTGTAAGAGACAAGCATATATAATTAAAATTCAGATTATTTGACCATTAAGGCAAAGGGTAAGTATAATATCCAGGCAGACACTGCCACAGGCACGTTAACTCTTTGAGTCCCAGAGGGTTTAGCATCACAGGCCCAAGGGGTGGTCAAGAGAGATGTAAAATCGGCGCATCATGCGTTCATTGGGCTTCTAGACAGTAACCTATGAACGTGTGATGCGTTCCTAGGGACTCAAAGCGTTGAATACTAAGTATTGACAAATATTAGGTCTTATCCTATTTTTTTTTTCTTTTCCATCACCTTTTCAGTTCCTTCACTCACTTACTGCCTTTTTCCTCAAAGAAAAATTTTGAAATTATTCAGTGCGTCTTTGAAAAGGCTTGGGGTATCTTGTAGGGTTCTTATGTCAACCACTGGTCACACATTTCCCTAATGCCATAAGTTATTTTTTTTTCCTAGTATCATGTGATTAATTTTTTTTGCATTTGAATCCTGACCATCATGTAATTTTTGTCCCTAAACTGTTTCACATTTGGTTAGAGGATATAAAAAAATTTATAGCATCTCAAATGATTTGTTAAGCTGTGTATTTAGCCCCTTCCAGGTTTTACTGACAGTTATTTCCCCTTCTGAGCATTTGCTTTGAAATCTTAAGATTCTTCTTCTTCTTCTTCTTTACGTCCTCTTTTACAGCTTCTGGTGTGGAGGGAGGTATAAGTCCTGCTTTGTGCTCGTCTGGTTGCTTCGACCACAGACTCATCGTAGTGCTGCAGCGTTTCTCTGATGTTATCCTCCCATCTTGTTCTTGGCCTACCTCTTGCTCTGCATCCTTCTCCTCTTTTGTAATATGCTTTGTGTGGTATAGCATCAAAAGGTATTCTCTCCAAGTGGGCTAACCATTTTATTTGCTGTCTTTGTATGTAATTTAGAATTGGCTCTGTGCCAACTTTATCTCATGTGACCTCATTCTTGATTTGATCTCTTCTGGCCACTCCTACAGTCTTTCTCAGACACCTCATTTCCATGGTTACTAAATTTCTTTTATGTAATCTGGAGATTACAAGAATTAAATCTTAGGTGACTGTGCTGGCAAGCAAGAGCACAAACCACTCGACCACCATGGCTGATTTATAGTAAATATAAGTTGAACTGTAAATGCTTGCACAAAAAAATTTGCCAATTTGAATTTCACCAAGAGTTCAAGAATTCATCAGATCCGTAATCAGTGCTGTTCATTTGAAAGAGTTTGTACCAGGCCATGGTGTGTTTGGAAAGATCTAAGCCATCAAGTCGGACTAGAACTTCACCACGACATGCCTTCTTTTCAAAACTACCAGTGCGCTCCCATATATTAATCTGGAAAAGAAAAGAGATATTTTATACTGCTTGTACTGTCACAAAGTTAATTAAGCAAAATGCATAACAAATATGATTCAGCATTTAAAAAAAAAAAAGGATCAATGTGATGTGTATAAACATTTAAAAATGTCAAAACATTCTAATTATAAAAAAGGCATCAAGATTTTAGTTCAAGTCGACACATGGATAGTTACCAAATAATGACTGTTGTATAATATGTAATTAAGTCCAGTTAAGCTCTTCCAAACACCCATCTTTCACACAGCAGCTGTATTTTAAAATTGTGAAACTATCCTGCCTTTCTTGTTTGAGATGTTAACATCATTCCCGCCAGGTTTTGGTTTTCACTATCTTCCAGTTTATAAAAAGAATAGGATAGCAGGAGTTACAAGAACTAGTGGATCAAGTCAACAGGCGAAGTGCAGAGTTTAGACATTAACATTCTAAAAACAAAAACTATGGTTATTAACAATAGAAAAGAGTGGCCAACAGTGAACATCAAAGAGCTAATTGAACAAGTAACTAGTTTCTCCTATCTAGGACATGTGTAACAGATGATGGCAGAAGCAAAACAGAAATCAAAAAGAGAATGGCTAGAACTGTCTTCAATAAGATGCACAAATGACTGACAGCTAGAGTGATAAACAACACTCTAAAAATGAGAATTGTAAAATGTTATGTATATCCAGTCCAGCTATTTGGTGAATAAACTTGGACAATGAACAAGCAACTAGCAAATCAAATTAAATCCCTGGAAATGTGGGTATACAGAAGAATAGGTCATATTTCATAGAAACAAAAACAGTTCAATACAGAAGTTCTGGAAAGACTATAAATGAAAAGAGAATTACTGAAATAAATAAAAAAAGAGACAATTAAAATACTTCAGCTACCTTAAAAGACATAACACTGGTTTTAAAAACCATACTGGAGAGAAAGGTTAAAGGCAAGAGATAAAGATGTGGGCAATGATACAAGTGGAAGGATGACATCAAGATATGGACAGGCAGAAGTCTAGTCTGAGAAAGTATACAACCAGGACAAGAGACAGAGTCTGTTGGAGATCCACTGCAGCCAACCTTCACTGTGAAGATGGCACCTAATTTATTTATTTAATTTAAAAAAACGTATAAAGTAAACAGTAAGTAAAGATCCCTTTTCCACGCCTTTAGGCATATAGGACATAGACCTATATTTAGACCAATCGGCACGTCAAGATGGGTGATGTGGTCAGCATCATGCCGAACCCCTTTACTTTCCGGGACTGCACCCGGTACCCACTCAAGGCTGGGTCGACCTGGGAGTCAATGTCATTTTTTTTAAAAGTCAGGCTCCGTCAGGGAGAGAGCCCACGACCTTCCGATCCGCACGCGAGTGTCTAGCCACTACGCCACGGCAACCCCCTAAAGTAAACAGTAAAGTGTAATTTTTAAAGTAAATTAAAATAATAAAAACAATTTTAAAATTTGTACTAATGGCAGTACACACCTTCATTGTTCTCCCATGGACATTGCAGGCTGAGTATCTGATCTTCTTGCGGTAAGCTGGATCAAAGGAGCCCTTGACAACAAGTGTCTTCTTCCGTTGTATGACTTTCTTTCCCTCCACTAAATATGTCTTTACATAAGTATCTGATGAATATTTAAAATGTGTTATGCAAGTTTGCGAACTATCAAGCGCCAGCTTGAGTGGAGTTGAATTAAGTCAAGAATTGACATCAAATACCTATATCAGCCCAGCCATCTCCTTGTGCGAGGCAATTTTTCGTTATTTTGAAGCCCTACCCTGGCTCCTGCCAGGGGCCGCAATATAGCCCGGCCATAAATATGGTCTAATGACTGCACACGGTTTCTGGGACCTTTCCACGGGTGATTCTCATCCACATCGTGGCACTTTGTGTCATCGGGTGTTTATCACTTGTGTGATGTCCTAGTGGGGTAAAAATCTACTACTACTACTAACTGACATCACAGCACTCGGGGCATTCCTATGCATGCTCCGTCCTCATCTTCAGCTGACAGCGCAAAGTTCTAATACTGATGGTACCGGTCAAAATCTAGTTATATGTCTATCTTGCCTTTCCTCTGAGTGTAGTGAGCTGGCCAGACACTCTGGATACACCCAGGTGTCTCATTCTCTCCAGGCCATAATAATATTCTTTCTCTACTGATTCCGTTGCTTGTTTTCAAAGTGCCTTGACCACATTGCCAGCTTAACTTTGAAATGGTAAGCTATATTTGACAGTGCCTAAAACAAAAGCAGCTCTAGACAGAAAATAAGAGTTTTGAAAACAAATGTCTTAGAATGATAGTAAATCTGTACTGGACAGATTTCAGATCCAATACACAAATAAGGCAAGAGACTAAGCAAGATAATGTATCCAATTTATAAGAAAGTGCTGCTAGAACTACACTGGCCATACACTCAGAATGGATAGGACCAGACTCCCTAATCAAGCTTTCATATGGACACTCGAAGGGAAAAGAAAATGGGGAAGACCGAGAGAGACCCTACGTAGAACCATCACCAGGGAAGGCTCGACCATGGTCCTAATGAACATCCAAGACCTAAAACATGTGGCAACAAACTGCCAGATATGGTGAGCTATGACCTCTGCTCTGCCCTATGCGTGGCTATAGGATCAAGAGGAAAGACTAACTAACTAACTGACTGACTGATTGACTAACTAACTAAGCTTAAACAGGTAATGGATGAAGTATAAAAGGCTTCTTCTTCTTCTTCTTCTTCTTCTTCTTCTTCAGCATTCCGAGCCCTTGAAGTTCATTGCTACAGGTATCACCCGCCTCCACTCCTCTCTCTAGTTGGCCATCTCTTTTCAGTTGGTAACACCAAGTGTTTGCAGGTCTCTCTGGACATTATCTCTTCATCATCTTCTTGGTTTGCCTTGTGGTCTACGACCATATTTCTCCCTTGTGTATCTCGTCACGAAACAGTTTAAAAGGCTACTAGCAATGTCCTATGGGACTCTGAGATTTGAGGAAGGTGCTCTAGGGTCTTAGGAGAAGACAGCTGAGAACAGCCCATTACAAAGTAATTGATAGAGTAGTCTGGTTCAGAAGTCAAACATGATTCCTCTTCTCCCTCTTCTTCACTTCCTCTTTTACTGCTTCAAAGGTAGATGTTAGATTCTGGTCCTTGCTGTTCTGGCTGCTTTAACCATACCAATACATTGTGCCGTTGTAGTGTTTCTCTGATGTTGTTCTTGGTCTACCTCATTTTCTATGCCCCTCTTCCAGATGATTAATTATCAGAAGCTGCTTTAAGTGTTGTGGGAGGAATAATTTACAATCCAGTGCATGCTGGCTGGCACCAGCTATTGTCATGCAGTAAAGGCTAAAGTGTCTTTAATGTTGTTGATCCATATTTTTCATGGCCATCCTCTTGCTCCTGTAGCTGGTCTTCTGAGATGTAATGCCTGTGCTGGTATTTGAGTTGCTGCATTCTAGCGAGATGGTTACATTACTTGATCTGCTGTTTCTCAGTAGTTGTTCCTGCAATCTGTCTGATAGTATCATTACTGACTCAATCTTGCGTGGTTTGGCAGCTATTCTCAAGCATTTCTTCTTGCATTTGGTGATTTTGCTTCTATGGGCTTTAGATAAAGTCCCAGGGAAGTTAACCCAGTCAACAAATGCTCAATGAAGTTGGATGTGTCTGCCAAATGGCACAAATATCGCAGCTTTGCTGTAAACAGGCACAAGGTAATTACGTCACACGGACGAACGAATGGAAGAAGCAGAAGAAGATAATTTCCATGTTTGGCACTGGCAGCTCAATGTTGGTGTAAACATGCTATTTATGATCCCTGGTGTTTTTTTTCAACATCAATAGTTATATACTTGTAATGCACTCAATGGTTGATCTAAGGAAAGACACTGAAAAGAATGCTGGAATAACACTGACACCTGGGGAATGAATGCTTCCAGCTCTGACAATGTCCATGTATGGCACTGGTTGCTTAATGTTGGCATTTATATGCTGTTTATCATCTTTTTTGTTTTTGTTTTGGCACTAATAGTTATGCACTTGTGATGCACTCATTGGTTAATATAAAGAAAGATTAACAGTTTAAAAGAGTACTTGATATCATTGATACCTGGGGGGTGAACGCTTCCAGCTCTGTGCAGGCCAGCTGCACACACGATATCAACTTCTAACTGACCCTTTGAAACCATGAATCCCAATTTGATGTCTCCACATACTGTGGTCTCTGTTGAAAAGATACATATATCAAGTGACATTATTTGAAATGCTATACAGTGATTGTAAAAAATTGTAGTAGTAGTAGTAGTAGAACTGGAAAAAATAATAGCAGAGGGCATGGTACCAGGAAGGAGGGACAGGGGCCGACCGACACGAAGATGGGCACAGGATATAAGTGACTCCTTGAGTGTGAAAGTTCATGAGGCGGGAGAACTGGCAAGAAACCGAGTTTCATTCAGGCAGACTGTGATGAGAGTGACGTTCTGCAAAGGACCTGCTACATGATGCTGATGATACTGTGATTATATTGATAATCACAAATGACACTGATGTTGTTATTTGAGATGACTGATGTCTAGGGTTTGTAAAAATAGGAGTTGTCACATGTATACTTACAAGTAAAGGAACTTGTCCATGCCCATATCTGTATTGGGTATATAGGGCTAGACCTATATTTTATGTACAAGTCAGCATTCAGGGGGTGATGTGTTCAAATCGTATGCCGGCCAACTTTACTTCCCAGGACTTCACGAGGTACCCATTTAAGACTGGGTCACCCTGGAAGCCAAGGTCATTTCTGGGTGAGAGAAAAAACCCCACTCCAGATTCGTAAGGACCAGAGCCCACCACCTTCGGATCTACAGGCGAGTATCTAGCTGCTCAACCCCAGCGACTCCCACACGTATACATAGTAAGATAAAAAGCAAAGTAAAAGACCCTTTTCATATCTTTGGCAAATCAAACATATAGTGCTATATCTATATTTTTTGTAGACAACCAACACTCTGTGGGTGGAGTGGTAAAAACTATATGTGGTTGCCTTTATTTCCCAGGACTTTTCCTGAGACTCATTTTTGGCTGGGTCAGTCTGGCAGCCAAGGTCAATTTTTTGTATATTTAATCCCACTAGAAACCAAAAAACCTGGAGAAGGAATAGGCATTTCAAAAGTGAAGAACAGTTTATGTTGTGAAGAACAATTTATGTTGTGAAGAACAATTTATGTTGTGAAGAACAATTTATGTTGTGAAGAACAATTTGTTTATTGCTAAACTAAACATATCCTGACTGCATAATTTGATCTGCTTAAGGCGAACTAACCCCCCCACCCCCTCCTAATACCTGGACATTTGTCCTAGAGTCCTAGCCATCTAGCTTAGCCCCAATCCATGCCGTATGAGCGGCGCGGGGGGCTGTTTGCGGAAGTCGCCAGAAAACCACAAATTAAGTCGCTGGAAGTGAGCAATTGACACGTGACTGAGGCTCATCAGGATATTTTGCGGCCGCCATCTTTAGTGCCCGTTATTCGGAGGATAGCCAATGGACCTATGGGCTGTATGGCTGTGGGATACACAATCACCAGTGTGGAACAGCTGGTTTGTGGAAGGGGCAACACCAGGAGTATGATTTTCAGGACATCCCCGCCCTCTGTCCTAGCAAGCAGATAATACTAGGGTGACTGTTTACTTCCTGCACAGACATAATTTGTTTCTATCAAGTCGGTCTTTCACCAGATCTCCCGCCTTCTGCACATTCCTACCCAAGGTGTTACTTACATCCTGAGCTGGTCAACCCCTGCCCTTCTTTCATGGTACTATGACTTCTGCTATTATTCTTTACAATCCGCCATGGCACTTGATATGGCCAAAAATGTCAGTTTCTTAGACAAGATGATGTTTACCAGCCAATCTTCCTTGATGTTTGGATCTGATAGAATGTCAGTCGACTAATTAGTGGTTTCCTTTTAAGATGGAGTCTATCTGCCCGGGAGGCAAGGACCCAATAGTCTGCATACAAGTAAGCCAGGATATCTGTGAAATGGCTGTGCCTGCAAAACTCAAGTTCTGGAATAGGACTTAAGTCCTGTGGCTAAACAATTTGAACTTTCCACCGGAGTTTACAGCCAGTGAATGCAAAGAAGAAGAAGATGATGGGTTTTGACAAGTATGAGTCCTGGTGTACCATCGTATATGGGGATGCACCTTTGCATCTCCCAAAGGTATTATTTATGTGATTCTTTTTAAAGTCCAGAAACCATGAGTTGAAAACCTTCTGGCTCGGTTCTATGGATATCGCAACCTGTCTGCCTTGATTCCATAATAGATACTGTACATCTAGGAAATATGTGGCTTTTCTGCCTACCCCTGAGCGTGAAGTCGGACCACATGGAGATTACTACTACTGCTGCTGCTACTACTACTACTTCTACTATTAATACTACTACTACTACTGCAACTACTACTACTACTACTGCCAAGACTTCTACTTCTACTTCTAGTATTACTATTACTACTACTTCTACTACTGCTGCTGCTGCTACTTCTACTACTACTAACACTACTACTACTGCTACTACTACTACTATTACTGCTAGTGCTGCTACTGATGCCTTAGAAAAAAAATTATAATTTTTGGAAGCAAATACATTTTTTTTTAAAAGTAGGCTAAGTTGACTTAAATACAAGTAACAGACCTGCAGATGGTTTTGGCGGAATCTGTCCTGGTCCGAGTATGGATGTAATATCATCCCCATCAGGTGGAGGTCTATCTGGAGTCAAAGGTGACACACTTTGGGAAAAAATATTAACACATTTCATTAAATTAATATGTAATGGAATGGTTCTGGTAACAAAGTTGGACCCAGCGAGACATGATTTGACATTCATTGATGAAGGTGTCAGGCTGGTGCTAGATTGTACTGTGCCGACGGTCTCACCATCGCTTGCTCTATATTACAGGATGTGGGCGGTTTTAATCACCCCATAACATGTATAACTGGCCCTAACCCCAACCCCCTACCCGACACACTGAGCCTAGGTCCCATGGAGAGTGCATTCTACGCCCAGTGGTTTCAGAATTATAAAGATTTTGTGGTGAACCCCAAGATGCTGTGTTGCTCGAGAAATGCAATGGTACCCTCTTCATCGCCTGACAACGATGACAGCTGAAATAATCTTATGCCCTACTAAATATCACAGATGGTTATCATATACCCACCAACATACACTAGCTCTACTTACAAGTGAAAACGCAATGTCGGCAGGCGCTGCTCACACAACAATAATTAACACGCAAGGCAGAAAGCTTTGCAAAGACAACAGTACATCGTGACACCCATCTAACATAGACCAACCTGAGCAAGCATCAATGAAAGGTCAGCTAGTGTGTGGCTGATTCTGAGCTGGGCCCAACTTCATTACTACTACAAATACTAAAATTGTGATTGTAATTAAAAAACAAAATCTATTTATTACTTTGACTCTGTCAGGCCCAAACAATGCACTGTGTATGACTGCATTTACTTGTATGCAACAGTCAAAATATTATTATGCTTGTACATACTGTCTAGGAAGCCGCCGTGGTCTAGTGGCTAGATGATCATCTGCAGATCGGAAGGTCATGGGTTCGGTTCTTGGCGGGAGCTGGACATTTTTTTCAAAAATCATCTTGGCTCCCAGGTCAACCAAGCCTTGAGTGGTATATACCTGGGAAGTAAAGGGGGCCTGAATGATGCTGACCACATCACTCACCAAGTGACGTTTGATCTATAAAATATAGGTCTAGCCCTGTATATCCAATACACCTGAAAGCGTGGAAAAGGGTCCTTTACTTTTACTTACATATTGTGATTGTATGTAAACAGGACATATTAAAACATCCAACAACACACAAGGGTTGTGTAATTAGCTCCTGTGGATATAGTATACCTATAATTTGGTTGCTCTCATTATTACCTCATTTGTGCATCAGCTATGACCTTCTGTGACTGAGAAAGTTGACATGTTGGCATTACAAATTTGAAATAAATACAATATTCCTACTGTTTTCCTTTCAGGTTGTCTAAGTAGGTCAAATGTTGTTGAGTTGAATTGAAGAATATACACTTATTATAACTAGGATGCTTGAGCATACATATATATCCATACACCCATAAAATACATGCATTGTTAGCACCTTTCTGTTGTTACAGATGATGTTGTTTCCTTGATGGAAGTCACAGCACATGGCAATGGTGGATGGGACTAGCAAGACCATCTTATGTGGAAAACAATCTTCTACAATAAGTAAAGGACGTAAAGGGGTCTTTTCTAAGTCTTTGGGCAATCTGAACATAGGCATATAGGGCAAGACTTATATTTTATAGATAGTTTGGCACTTGGTGGGTGATGTAGTCAACACCACACTGGAGACCTTTACTTCTCAGAACTTTACCTGGTACCCATTTAAGGCTGGGTTGACCCAGGAGCCAAAGTCTTTAAAAAAAGTTTGGCTCTTTAAGGACTTTAACCCATGAGTGGCAAGCATCACTTCGGAAGTTCCTAGTAGTTAGCATCCTTTGGATATTTTCTTCAGGTGATGTCAGTGTGTTGGGAAATGAGCAGGCAGATATACTGGCAGGCTCTGCACCACTTGGTGGTGAATTGATGTATGACAAGCTAGATACTGTGAGGGCCTTTTTTGAACGAGTGAACAGTGTGTATGTGCAAATAGATCATTACGATCTGAGGAGAATGGCGCTGGCAGGAGTTACCAGGGGATATGGCCGATGCTCAACACTCAGGGAAAGGATGAAATGGATATACAATTAGACGGCTACTGGTGCCATGTGAATTCAAACTCTTCGCTTGCTGCTAAGATGGGGACGGAGCGCTTGTGGGAGTGTTGGTTGTAGAAGTCGATTAACTGGGGGCTTCCTTCGAAGTCAGAGTGCATCGGCCCAAGCGGTAAGAAACAACCAACTGCTCACAAATAAGTCAGTAAAACAGATGTACATGTAAAACTCAGGCTCTGGTACAAACCTAAAGTCTAAATGGACAAACAACCAGGACTTTCTTCAACAGCTTACAGCAGGTGAACAAAGAAGAAGAAGTAGTAGTATAGCCACTGTATATAATGATGACCGGAAAGATCACTGGTAGAAGAGGCAGAGGCAGACCAAGAGAATTAATGGTGGATGGCTTAAGACAGTGACATGGAGGAATATCATCAGTGGAATTGATCCAGACCACCAAAGAATGAGATCTATAGAGATGCATGAATGCTTACGCTAGCTGGCAAGGCACTTGATGATGATAATGATGACATAATGACAGTACCTGTATCTTCCTTGACTGTCATCATCATCAGACAAGAAAAAGCTGGAACTACTGTTAGTTCGGCTCAGAGGCTGTGGTGGTGCCAGAAGATCCATGCTATGGTCTGCAGGTTTCAGTAATGAGTATATTGTTATTTAACAGAACAAGTACATTTTTTCTATGCAATTTACAGCCGCCCGCACATATGACCATTAAACAAAACATATTTTTAAAAGGTAATTAAAGAAATATAACTACATTGGTAGGGTGAAAATGTTCCCAGAACTGATGCATATAGCATCATATATATGCATATATATATGTATATATATTGTACACAGATATACACATACTATATTTATATATACATTGACTGCATTCTCATGTTTTATTTTGTACAATTTTTATAACCTGTTTGAATGAAAATATTGTTAACAAATATAAATTTGACTTAGACCAGTTCAACTTATGACCTGTTATTTGGAACATGGTCATTAAGTCGAGGAGATCCTGCACTTGAAATTTTTTTCCCCCCCCCCCCCCCCCCTCCTTCTTTTTCTTCTTCTTCTTCTGCTTCTACAACTGACGATGCTTCGTCTTTTTTTTCTTCGTCTTTTTGTGCTTGATTTTCTTGTTTTTGCTCTACTGCTTCTTCTGATACTGCAGCACTTTATTCCAAAATCTAGTTTATACACACACAAAAAACTTTAGCATATTAAATGAAACATTTAGTTGGAGATCAGCGACATGGAGAAGCATGACCGCCCATTGTAGTTAGCAGAGTAATTAGTGATGATCATGCTGATAACCAATCTGATTCTTAAAGAATCCTCTAATGTTTGGCCACATGATTGCTGGAGCTGAATCCAGGATCTCCTTGTATAGGTTCTAACACCCCATTTGGGAGGGGGAAGGAGAAAGCAAGAACAGACCCACTATCCCTCTTACAAGATGTCATAAAAAATGACTAATTAGGGATTTGTAATGTGTTTGTCAAATATGACGGACCACAATCGGCTACAGATGACAGGTCATGCTGCTGACGTCACCAGATTGGGCTAACGATGCGTTACCGCAGCAGTTCTCAACAACAACAAAAACTATTTTCGACAGTGGCAAGGCAAGACAACTTAAATTTTAACTTTTAAGTATCTACATGCCTTCTTTAATAATTTCACAATTTGTAGCTGACTTTTCTTGATTATTGAGGCGGAACCCCTGGCATACATTCATGGCACCTCAGGGTGCCTTGGCACAAAGTTTGAGAACACATGCATTGACGCATCGTTAGCCTGACTAAGTAACGTCAGCAGCACGTCCAGTCAGCTGGAGCTGGTCGTGGTCGAACCAAAAGGTGCAGATACAAAACACCATGACAACCATTTACTTAAACCTCGCTTCAACAGGGGACACAATTTGTTTCTCTTTATTTTCAAGTCCCATCTCGGCTGTAGTTGGGGGCCCTAATATAACCTAACAGTTCAACGGGGTTGTTGGGAATTGCGGAGGATTCTCATCCGAATGGTGGCACTTTGTGTCACCGGGTGTTTATCGCTCATTGTGCAGCCCTGGTAGAGCTGGAACAACCACTATACCCGCATAGTCAAGTTAAAACAAGGAGCAGAAACACAGGTATTTAGTTACTCAACAGATCTTCACTGCACATCCAACCATTCAGAAACATACTTACTGCACATCCAACCATTCAGAAACATACTTACTGAACATTGAACCATTCAGAAACATACTTACTGCACACTGAACCATTCAGAAACATACTTACTGCACATCCAACCATTCAGAAACATACTTACTGCACATCCAACCATTCAGAAACATACTTACTGCACATCCAACCATTCAGAAACATACTTACTGCACATCCAACCATTCAGAAACATACTTACTGCACATCCAACCATTCAGAAACATACTTACTGTACATGCAACCATTCAGAAACACACTTACTGAACATTGAACCATTCAGAAACATACTTACTGTACATGCAACCATTCAGAAACACACTTACTGAACATTGAACCATTCAGAAACATACTTACTGTACATGCAACCATTCAGAAACATACTAACTGCACATGCAACCATTCAGAAACATACTTACTGCACATTGAACCACTCAGAAACATACTCACTGCACATGCAACCATTCAGAAACATACTTACTGCACATCCAACCATTCAGAAACATACTTACTGCACATTGAACCATTCAGAAACATACTTACTGCACACTGAACCATTCAGAAACATACTTACTGAACATTGAACCATTCAGAAACATACTCATTGCACATGCAACCATTCAGAAACATACTTACTGCACACTGAACCATTCAGAAACATACTTACTGCACACTGAACCATTCAGAAACATACTTACTGCACACTGAACCATTCAGAAACATACTTACTGCACATGCAACCATTCAGAAACATACTTACTGCACATCCAACCATTCAGAAACATACTTACTGCACATGCAACCATTCAGAAACATACTTACTGTACATGCAACCATTCAGAAACATACTCACTGCACATGCAACCATTCAGAAATATACTTACTGCACATTGAACCATTCAGAAACATACTTACTGCACACTGAACCATTCAGAAACACACTTACTGCACATCCAACCATTCAGAAACATACTTACTGCACATCCAACCATTCAGAAACACACTTACTGCACATCCAACCATTCAGAAACATACTTACTGCACATCCAACCATTCAGAAACATACTTACTGCACATCCAACCATTCAGAAACATACTTACTGTACATGCAACCATTAAGAAACATACTTACTGCACACTCAACCACTCAGAAACATACATACTGCACACTGAACCATTTAGAAACATAATTACTGCACATCCAACCATTCAGAAACATACTTACTGCACATCCAAAAATTCAGAAACATACTTACGTGAACTCTGAGCTCTCATGTGTAATTTAGGACTCTTGGAGATTGAAACACTTTTATCACTTCTATCTGACAGTCTCCTGAGTATTTCATTATGGGATCCGTCGTCCAATCCTAAATAATATTTATTTTTATAGTTACCGTTAAACAAAGTAATTCTTTAAGGTGTCAATTGAAAAGAAATAGGAAACATTATTTTCTTCTTCTTCATCGCACTGAGTTTTGTATGCTCAGATTAGACCAACAGATGGGTTGCCTCTATGAACTCGCATGTCAGTTGCAGGTCCTTCATGGTTCCCCAGCTTGCTCTGCACACTTTGCTCCTCAGGCCAAGTTGCTTTTTGTAGTTGTAGGTAGAGTGGCTAGGCCTACAGAGTGTGCTCAGGTGTTTGTGGTTCTGTCTGACAGGCACACTGCAGGTACTGTACAGTCTTTATTGTATGCATATTATCTTAAAGAAAGGTATTTAAGGATGAAGACTCACTTCATTGCACAGGGTTTTATTCCATATGGCTCAGTCTCTCTCTGCAGAGAGAACCATATGCGAAAAAAAAATGCAGAGACTGGCCAGCAGGTGCCACAGAGGTGGAAATTCAGCAATTAATTCAAGATAATGCTCGCTCAGAAGATTTGATCATTTACACAGACAGTTCAGTGTCAAGGGGCAAAAGAAGTGATTGGAGTTTCTTAGCAAAAGTTAATGGTTGACTTTTGGTGCAAGATTTGATGAAGTGTTGCTAGCAGAGAGTGAGCAGGAGTTGCAACCCTAGTGGAGCAAGTAAACAGAAGGAGTGCAGAATTTGGATTAGATATAAATTTGAAAAAGACAAAAACCATGATATTTAGCAAAGAAAATAATCAGCTAACAATGGATATCACAGTGAACGGGGTGAAATTGGAACAAGTTAAAAATTTCTTATATCTTGGACAAGTAATAACATGTGATGGCAGAAGTGAAACAGAAGTCAAGAAAAGAATAGGGATGGCCAAAAACATTTTCAACAACATGCAAAAGTTACTGACATCAAAAGAAATAAGCAATACATTAAAAATGAGAATTGTCAAATGTTATGTATTCTCAACCTTACTGTATGGCACAGAGACATGGACAATGAACATACAACTGGAAAATCGTATCAATTCTTTGGAGATGTGGATATACAGAAGATTAGGTCGTATTTCATGGAAACAAAAGCTATCAAATACAGAGGTACTGTGGAAATTGGGAATGAAAAGAGAGTTGCTAGGTGAAATAAAAAAGAGACACGTGAAATATTTTGGCCACATTAAAAGACATAACAGTATTGTAAAGATCATCCTAGAGGGAAAGGTTCAAGGTAGGCGAGCAAAAGGCAGACAGAGCTACAAGTGGGAGGATAACATCAAGAGATGGACGATCAGCAGTATGAGTGAGTGTACATCAAGGACAAGAGACAGGGCTTGTTGGAGATCCATTGCAGCCAACCTTCATTGTAGAGACGGCACCTGATTGATTGATGATACCAGAACGTCCTGCTTGAGAATGGAGGTGGAGGTGGTCACTGCAGCTTTCCGCTGGTTAGAGAACACAACACACACACACACATTGTGATTGTAACTGACTCAGAAAGCATGCTGGGGAATATCTGGACAGGCGTGCTTCGTGCAGAGTGACATGCCTCGCTGCTGAGGAATCGGGTAAGTAGTATTGTCTGGATTTCTTTCACCGGGGCATGCCGGTGTGTTGGGAAATAAACAGTGGGACAGCCTGGCTGGCTCTGCACAACTTGGTGGAATACTGATGCATGATAAGGCAGGCATGGTTAGTGCCTTGTGGGAGAGCTTGTACAGTTCGGGGGAGCAGATGGATCACCACAGTCTGGTGAGACTGATGCAGGGGGAAGTGATGAGAGGTTCTGGCAGATGCTAGAGGCTCAGAGGAAAGGCAAGACGGACGTTTAATCAGAATGATACTGGCACCATTAGTATCAAAACTTTTCTCTGGCTGCTGAAGATGGGGATGGTGCGCTTATGGGAATGCCCCGAGTGCTGTGATGTTGGTTCTTGAATCAAAATGCAGAGAGAACCAAGAACAAATTATGAATAAAATGCTAAATAAAGTTACAGGTAATCTTTTGGCAGATAAATGCTGGGTTCTGGGGCCCTATTATAGGTAAAACAAGAAAAGACCCACTGCCTACCCAAAAGCATGTTGTAAGAGTTAACTAATTGGAAGCTTCCTTTGAAGTTGGAGTGCATTTGCCTAAGAGCAAGGAACCAGCGGTCTACATACAAATGAGTCAGGTCTGTAAAACAGATGCACACGCAACACTCAAGTTCTGGAACAGGACTGCAACCCAGAAGTGGATGAACAGCCAGAACTTTCCGCCGGAGTTTACAGCTGGTGAACGCAAAGAAGAAAGAAGAAAAAGATAAATGCTGTTACAGTGTGAAGTGTTAGACCTTAATATACACAGTCTAGGTCACATCATTATTAGGTTTCCCATGTGGGTTTCCAGGGGAAATTAAACAGACCCACTGCTGACCCCTCCCCAACAGTCCGCTTACAAATAAGCCAGATCTGTAAAATCGATGTGGATGTAAAACTAAAGTTCTGGAACTAGACTAATGTCAAGAAGTGGATGCACAAAGAAGAAGAAGAAGAAGAAGAAGAAGAAAGGAAGGAAGGAAGGAAGGAAGAAAGAAAGAAAGAAAGGAAGGAAGGAAGGAAGGAAGGAAGGAAGGAAGGAAGGAAGGAAGGAAGGAAGGAAGGAAGGAAGGAAGGAAAGGAAGGAAGGAAGGAAGGAAAGGAAAGGAAGGAAGGAAGGAAGGAAGGAAGGAAGGAAGGAAGGAAGGAAGGAAGGAAGGAAGGAAGGAAGGAAGGAAGGAAGGAAGGAAGGAAGGAAGGAAAGGAAGGAAGGAGGAAGGAAGGAAGGAAGGAAGGAAGGAAGGAAGGAAGGAAGGAAGGAAGGAAGGAAGGAAGGAAGGAAGGAAGGAAGGAAGGAAGGAAGGAAGGAAGGAAGGAAGGAAGGAAGGAAGGAAGGAAAGAAGGAAGGAAGGAAGGAAGGAAGGAAGGAAGGAAGGAAGGAAGGAAGGAAGGAAGAAAGAAAGAAAGAAAGAAGAGTTAGAAGAAGATGAAAAGGTAAAAGTAAAGTCGGGAGATGTGAACCAGCATCATTGCAGACGGTTATAAACCATAGTGCTCTGAAACCAGTATGGACAGCTGATAAGAAACTGTCTACCTGTGTCGCCGTCCGACGCAACTCCATAGCTACAGCGATGTTCCTCCATTTACCATAAAGTGTTAACTCTGATAACCCATTTCCTAGAGGCTGGGTGAACCCTGGGAACTGCTGTGGGCTGCAGTGAGTTGCAGCTGCATTTGAAAGCAAGTTTCCTATCAACTACGCTAACAAGGCCCCAAAAAGATAAAAATGAAGAAGAAGAAAAAGAAGAAGAAAAGAAGGAAGGAAGGTAGGAAGGAAGAGAGAAAAAGAAGAAGAAGAAAAAGGAGAAGGAGGAGAAGAAGAAGAAAAAGAAGAAGGAGAAGAAGAAGAAGAAGAAGAAGAAGAAGAAGAAGAAGAAGAAGAAGAAGAAGAAGAAGAAGAAGAAGAAGAAGAAGAAGAAGAAGAAGAAGAAGAAGAAGAAGAAGAAGAAGAAGAAGAAGAAGAAGAAGAAGAAGAAGAAGAAGAAGAAGAAGAAGAAGAAGAAGAAGAAGAAGAAGGAGAAGAATGAGGAGGAGAAGAAGAAGAAGAAGAAGAAGAAGAAGAAGAAGAAGAAGAAGAAGAAGAAGAAGAAGAAGAAGAAGAAGAAGAAGAAGAAGAAGAAGAAGAAGAAGAAGAAGAAGAAGAAGAAAGAAAAGAAGAAGAAGAAGAAGAAGAAGAAGAAGAAGAAGAAGAAGAAGAAGAAGAAGAAGAAGAAGAAGAAGAAGAAGAAGAAGAAGAAGAAGAAGAAGGAGAAGAATGAGGAGGAGAAGGAGGAGAAGAAGAAGAAGAAATGTAGAAGATACAAGGAGAAGAGAAAAATATATCAAATGAACAGAAATTACCACATGGTTTGCTGTTTTGTATTGACAACACTATGCTCTGTAGCTCCCAGTCAAATTAATTAGTGATAATAGTGGCTGGCATATTGTTCTGCTGGAAGTCTGATCATAGAATTTTCCTTCTGTCCATATTCTACTTTGTCACAGGTTAACAGATGATCGGTGTCTGAGCTAGTGCACATTATGTTGTCTGTTATACTGTGATGTTGTGGAGTCTTAAAGTATCAGTGACTCCTTCAGTCCATCTTCTTTTTGATCGTACCCTACATACTGGTGTTTCTGAGGGTGTACACACTCAATGCTGACATTATTGGATTCATTCTCATTCTCATAAAATGACTAAACCATTCAGTCTTTGTTTTTCAATGAATTTCATTTTAGGTTTTTATTCCACTAAAAAAAAAAGTTTGTTGCGTATCCTTTACAGGACATTCCAGAACCAACCCCAGCATTTTTTGGCTGTGGTGGTTTTTTTTTTTCCTAGGCAAATTTACGTCCAGTAGTTTGCCACCGCTTTCCACACTGCTTGCTGACGGCTTGTCAGCTTATCGATAACAATGTCAAAACCAACGTAAGGCACAAGATCCACAGCTGGGATCGAACCAGGCATACCGGCATTATGAAGCGTCTTCGCAAAGCCTAAGCCACAGAGGCCAACTAGTTACACTAGTTCTCGCAATTTCTTCATTTCTCACACAGTCTCTTCTAGTTTTGCTCACAGCTTTTTTCAAACATCTCATTTAGCAGGTGGTCAGATTTCTTTTGTGTTCTGTTTTTCAATTTGATGGATTTTATGATATGATAAATTGCTTCTAGAGAACATTGCCGGTTTGCCAGACCTGTCACAGGTTCATTGCAAACTTTATTTAAATCTGTGTAAAGACAAATTCTTTGTTTAAACAAATAATAAAAACTGACCTAGGCTCTGAGGCAGACATAGACTAAAATGGATACCCGGAAAAGTAGTAGTAGTAGTAGTAGATTTTACCCAACTATGACATCACACCCGATGACTCAAAGTGCCACCATGTGGATGAGGATCACTGTGGAGAGGTCCCAGAAACTGCGTTCAGCCATTAGACCATATTTATGGTCGGGCTATATTGTGGCCCCTGGCAAGAGCCAGAGTAGGGCTTCAAATAACGAAAAATTGCATCTCACAAGGAGATGACTTGTTTAACAAGATACCTGGAAAAGTGGTTTTTCATTGGCCTAGTCTACTATTTATTTAACTATTAAATGTTGTCAGAATTTGTACCTAATAAATGAAATAGGGCTGAGTGATGTTAATTGCATCACTCCTTCAAAGCCAACTGATCCATTAAAAAATAAAAAAAGCTAGCACCATAGGCAATGTACCTCAAAGCATTAAAAAAGTCTTTTATTTTACCTTTAAAAAAAAAAGGGACAAATAACATTTTAGTTGGCAAAAAGAGAGTGACTTCCCTTCCCCCCAAGACAAAGAAGTTACTGAGAAGGAACTTTAGAATAGAAAAACATTGCAGTTCCCATACTTCCCAATTGTCGCGCATGTAACCAAACATGGATTTAACCACACAAGTGAGCCATGAGAATATGAGCAGTAGAAAATAGAGAATAGTTAAAGCATTTACAATAAGGAATACATGACACCCCCGCAACATAGGATAAGCCCTGAAACTGGACAAAGCATAAATGGGAAGAGAAATCACTGTCTTTTAGTTGACCAAAACGTTACTTGTACCAAAAAGAAAAAGAAAAGTTAGTTGTGTATTCTTTACAAAACATTGCAGGACCACTCTCAGCATTTTCTGGCTCTTTGCAGTGTTATTAAGCAATGCTATGACCTGTAGAATGTTATTGCCTCTGAAAGTTTGGTACCCTATCTTTTCCCTCTTATCTAGTCCTGTTCTGCATTTCAGTGTCAGGTTTTGTTTGAGCCTTAGTGTTTGCTACATAACAAGTAGATGCTGGTATTTATGGCCTGGGATATTCCATCTATCCATCCCTTGCATGCTCGGCCTCTAGCTTAGCTTCCATTATGTTTAAGTAACAAGGCTCTCTATGGTTGGCGCACTCTCCGGTCATAGTCTTGACGCATGTCCAAACCATTTGATCCATTGTCACTTGATGTAATTTTGTACTGGTACTAACCCAACTACTCTCTTCATATTATTTCTGATTCTGTCTGTTATAGGTGCATTTAAGATTTGTCATAGACATTTTATTTCTATTCTTTCCATACATTGTTAAAATAAATTAAAAGTGACCAGCTACTAAATTGTCTACAGCTGAAATCAAACCGGTTATTTTGAAAATATGAAGTGGTTTCGCAATGCCTAAGCCACAGTCGCTGACTCTTTACCTTAACCTGATGAAATTATCTGGCAAGTATTATAATTATCTGGCAAGTACCATAATTATCTGGCAAGTACTATAATTTTCTGACAAGTACTATAATTGTATGGCAAGTACTATAATTATCTGGCAAGTGCTATAATTAACTGGCAAGCACTATAATTATCTGGCAAGTACCATAATTGAGTGTGGCATCTTTGACATGGAAAACTGCACTGAAGATTGCACAGGACAGGAAAGCATGGAAAGTCCTCTCTGAAGCCTCATGTGCCACTAGTCATAACGAGAACTGATGATGATGATGATGATGAGGTACCATAATTATCTGGCAAGAACTAAAATTATCTGGCATGTACTATAATTATCTGGCAAGTACTATAATTATCTGACAAGCAGTATAATTATCTGGCAAGCACTATAATTAACTGGCAAGTACTATAATTAACTGGCAAGCACTATAATTAACTGGCAAGCACTATAATTAACTGGCAAGCACTATAATTAACTGGCAAGCACTATAATTAACTGGCAAGTACTATAATTAACTGGCAAACACTATAATTAACTGGCAAGCACTATAATTAACTGGCAAGCACTATACTTAACTGGCAAGCACTATAATTATGTGACAAGTACTATAATTATCTTGCAAGTACTATAATTAACTGGCAAGCATTACAATTATCTGGCAAGTATGATACCTGTATTATCTTTCTTGTCTGAGAGAGACAAGGAGGACATCTTGGATACTGTATGTCTCATCTTCTTCCTGACCTTGGTTGTAAAGCTGTCTGGTTGAGAGACTGTTGAGAATCAGTTGACTAAAGATATATTTATGCTTGAAAAAATTAAATTAAAAAAAGATAATCACATGTCCTGTGTCGAGAGTAGGATGTGGAAGCTGCTGTGGTGTAGCGGCTAGATGCTTGCCTGTGGATTGGAAGGTCATGGGTTTAGGTCCTGAAATGTCCTTGGCTCAACGTCAACCGGGCCCTAAATGGATACCAGGTACAGTCCTAGGAAGTAAAGGTGTGGGGTGGTGTTGACCACTTCACCCATTTTTCTATAAAATATAGGTTTAGCCCTATATGCCCAATACGCCTGAAGACATGAAAAAGGATCCTTTACTTTACTGTGTAGGGTGTCTGAAACCAGCCCCAATTTTATTGGCCTTTGTGTGGTTTTACTTATTCTTCACAAAGTCAATAAAGTGTGGCGTTGGTAGTCATGTCTTCTTCTTCTTCACATTTACCAGCTGTAAACTCTGGCGGAAAGTTCTGGTTGTACATCCGCTTTTGGACTGCAGCCTTGTTCCAGAACCTGAGTGTTGTGTGTGCATCCGTTTTACAAATCTGACTCATTTGTATGCAGACTGCTGGTTACTTGCCTCTCAGGCAGATGCACTTTGACTTCGAAGGAAGCTCCCAATTAGTCGACTCTTACGACATGCTTTTGGATAGGCAGTGGGTCTATTCTCTTTTCCCCCCTATAATAGGGCCCCAAAATCCACACGGGGAGGTAGTCATGTAAATCCACAACCTTCTGTCTCGTGTACTTTCAATCAACTCTGATACAGATAAGCCTCAGTCTCTGCCTCTCTTCCTCTCCAACTTTCCTACTCTCACAATTTACTCCAGTTTTCTCCTTATCATAATATTACCAAAGAATGTAGACTGTCTCTTTCTAATGTGGGAAATCAGTTCTCTTCATGAGTCAGTTTATTTTAAGACATCTGCCTTATCTTTTTCTCTGTCCAGTGTAATCTTATCACTCGTCTACAAAACCACATCTCTGCAGCTTCCCAAAAAATTTTTAACTAATCTAATAACTGTTCATGATTCACTTCTGCATATCAAGATAGGATTTATATAGCTTTTAAGAATTCTCTGGGATTTATATAGCTTTTAAGAATTCTCTTTCTCATCTCAACTGACAAAGAAAGAATGCATAAAATATTTTTCATTTTGTAAAAGGCTGCTTAAGCTATTCTACATTTCACTTCCTTAACACATCTTCCATCTGATGTTGCCAGGGTACCCAAGTAATTAAGCTAATCAGTTTAATATCATTAACAAATATAAATTTGACTTACGTCCAGTTCGACTTATGACCTGTTAGTTGGGACAGAACATGGTCATTAATTCAAGGAGACACTGCACTTCATATTCTTCTTCTCTTCTCTTCTCCTCCTTTTTTCTTCTTCTTCTTCTTCTTGAGGTTTGTCCCATTTACTTTGATGTTGCATTTTAGAGGGTTAGTTTCTTCATAATTACCATTACTTCTGTTTTTTTTTCTGCTGTTCAAACAAAAACCCTTGTTTTCACTTTCCGTTACAATTATATCTGTAATTTCTTGCAGTTGTGTTTCATTTTCAGCAATCAAAACTGTATCATCAGCATATCACAGGTTGCCCACCAACCTATATTCTTGGCATACCATGTATGGATTTAATTATTATTTCACCGTACAAATGGTATAAATCTGGTAACAGTACACCCTGTCTAATGCCTTGTTTAATATTTTGAAAAGTTCCTACTTGGTTGTCAATCTTTATGGCTGCTTCTTGTTGCCAGTATATGCTTTGAAAAAATTTGTTTTCAGATCTTTACCTTCAATGTTTTAGGTTTTCAAATTTTTAATAATTTCTTCATGTTTCACTTTATCAAATGCTTTACTACATTCAGTAAACGTAAAGGACCTTTTTCCATGTCTTGATACATACTGGCATATAGGGTTAGACCTATATTTTATAGACCAATTGGCACTCAGTGGGCGATGTGGACAACATCAAGCTGGCTGCCTTTACTTCCCCTGACTGTACCTGGCACCCAATGAAGGCTGGGTGGACCTCGGAGCCAAGGTCATTTTTACAAAAGTCATGCTCTGTCAGGACCCAAATCCCTGACCTTCAGATCCACAGGTAACCACATAACTGCTACACCATGGTAACTCCCACTACATTCAGTAGTTTGCCTTTACTTTCTGAAGGGTACGGCGCTCATACTATCAACACAAAGAGGTCTGCTATCAAATCCCCTGCAGCTGACTTTGACCCCTGGTATGTCGGCATTGTGAATGTTGAATTAAAATTAGACATCACAGCATTCCGGACACTCCCATAGACTGGCGTGTTCTGCCCCACTTGGTGGTGAATTGATGTATGACAAGCTAGAAGATGTAAGGGCCCTTTGAGAACGAGTGAACAGTGCAAAGGCACATATAGATCCTTACTATCTAAGGAGAATGGCACTGTGGGGAGTTACCAGGGGATCTGGCTGACGCTCACCACTCAAGGGAAAGGTGCGATGGATGTACAATCAGACAGTTACTGATACCTTTGAACTGGCACACTTCACTTGCTGTTGAAGATGGGGGTGCAGCGCTTATGGGAGTGTCCCAAGTGTTATGAATATTGATTCCTAATTCAACTTTAAACATTCCTAGAACTAGTTAAGTGTACTGAAATCACCAGAAACTACCCAACAGAACTAACAAAGTGTGTGCTACTGGTACAGTCAGTCTCCTTTACTATGGATGAAAACATGACAATGATGAATTGGTCATGTACTCTCCAAGAGATTCGTCTACCATCGGTCACTTTCTCATGGGTCTGGTAATACTCAGGAGTTTCAAACAACACATGTCCCACACTCTTCCAGTGGCCCACGTATCTACCCTCACTACAGTTACACATAAAATTAATTTTAATATACACTTTCACACCCATCTGACCTCTGATATAAATGCACTCTAAACAAGAGGGTGTTAAACCTATTCTCTTGGGATGTCCTGTTGTCATCTCAAAATATGAGTGGGTTGTCCCGTTTTCAGCTCAAGATATTTCAGTCACCTTAAAGCTTCATCATCGTCATCATGTAGCAAGACCTATGCAGAATGTCGCTCTCATCACAGTCTGCCTGAAAGAAACTCGGTCTCTCCTGCCTCATGTACTTTCATACTCAAGGAGTCACTTATATCCTGTGCCCATCTTCGTATCGGTCGGCCCCTCCCCCCTCCTTCCTGCCATAAAGCTTACAATATCATATTATGATAATTATTATTTTATATCATTTTATTGTTGAAATATTTATATGTTAAATATTTAAGTGAATACAATTACCATTATTCAGATGAAACTCCCTTGATCCAACATGTGAATTTCCAAAAGGCACAGGGGAAACGCTGGTGGAGCCTGCAATTATAGGAAAGTAAAAGTAAAGGACCCAATTCACATCAATGGTGCATTATGCATTTAATGCTAGGCTCATATTTGTAAGGTAATTTCATCAACATCATGCTGGGCACTTTTACTTCCCTGGATATTTCCCAGTAACAACTTTATGCTGGGTCAACCTGGGAGTCGTAATCAGTTACAAAAATTTGCCTCATTGCAGATTAGAATCTATGACATTTAGGCATGCAAGGAGGCATCAGGTCACAGTGTTACTGAGGCTCCTACCTGAAAATATAACCATATTTACGCGTGTATAGGCCACAGTATTTTAACCAATAAATCATTGATGAAAAACGCAGTGCAGCTTATATTCGAGATATTAAGCCTGCATGCCAGTTTCCATGCAGCCAGAATCCACTCTCAGAAATGAGATAACGAGGCTTTCTTCAAACATCCAGTCAGGGTGCTATCATCGAAATGCATTTCCAGTTGCAATAGGGACACCAAAAATGTACCTTAAAAGGTTAATTTATATTCTTCTTCTTCTTCTTCTTCTTTCGTTCGCTTCAAATAGATTATCTATATCTGCAATGTTGTCTCTAATATTCAGGCTCACGACTCTCTGTCTACTCCGATGGTAAAACAGATAGCAGTGACATTATTTTAGCTACTGTGGTGGTGGTCGTGGCAGTAGTTGTACTGGTACTTGAAGGATGATGTGGTAAATATTACACTAGCCCCTTCACTACCTATTACAATTACTGCTCCCCATTTTAGTCCGGATGGACAGTGGATGTCAATGTCAGTTACAACAACAACAAAATATCGCCAGGTGATGATTTTCAAATCCTTGGAAGAGGGAAAGAGCAGAAGTCGGTGAAAGAGGGGAGGGGAGGTGCGTAATGACCTAAATTTAAGAGAACTTAAAGAGCTTTACACAAGATTTTCAAGTTCTCATTACTTAATTTGTTTATATTTTACTAACGCTACCTCCGCTATTCAATTTTTTTACGACTGACTTTTTCATTTGCAAGTACAGCTGTAGCTTTACTTCCGTCTCCTATAAAAATACAAACAGCTTTAGCATGTGATAACCAAATAACCATTTTTGTTACTGTGCTAATAACACCATTTAAACGACCACTAATATAAAGACACAATTATATGATGCGTTTTCTAAAGTTGGAAAACCAGACTATCTCTATATCTGTGCAGAGATTGATTGCGACATTAACTATATTAAACACGAGCGATTTCCATTGTCTTTCTTTTCCAACAACCTTTGATGAGGGAGAGAGTATTAGGTGGATTTAGTTGTGGTGGGGGGGGGGGGGGGGGAATTAATGACTATTTCTATATCTGAGCAGACAATGATTGTATTAGACACGTGGGATTTCTATTTTCTTTCATTTCCATTAAGCCAAACCATGCCACAGAAACGCGTGGCCGGGTACAGCTAGTTACGATATAAATGCAGATATAGTGTAAACACTGTTTGGCACTTGCTACAATAACCTACATTACGATATAAATGCAGAAGGTGTAAACACTGTTTGGCACTTGCTACAATAACCTACCTTACAATATAAATGCAGAAGGTGTAAACACTGTTTGGCACTTGCTACAATAACCTACATTACAATATAAATACAGATAGTGTAAACACTGTTTGGCACTTGCTACAATAACATACATTACAATATAAATACAGATAGTGTAAACACTGTTTGGCACTTGCTACAATAACCTACCTTACAATATAAATACAGATAGTGTAAACACTGTTTGGCACTTGCTACAATAACCTACCTTACAATATAAATGCAGAAGGTGTAAACACTGATTGGCACTTGCTACAATAACCTACATTACAATTTAAATACAGATAGTGTAGACACTGTTTGGCACTTGCTACAATAACCTACCTTACAATATAAATACAGATAGTGTAAACACTGTTTGGCACCTGCTACAATAACCTACATTACAATATAAATACAGATAGTGTAGACACTGTTTGGCACTTGCTACAATAACCTACATTACAATTTAAATACAGATAGTGTAAACACTGTTTGGCACCTGCTACAAAAACCTACATTACAATATAAATACAAAGTGTGTAAACACTATTTTGCACCTGCTACAAAACCTACATTACAATATAATTACAGATAATGTCGACACAGTTTGGCACCTGCTACAATAACCTACATTACAATTTAAATACAGATAGTGTCGACACTGTTTGGCACCTGCTGAAGAAGGTGAATATCGATGAATATGATGGCGGTGAGAAGGCACTTCGGGTGACACTGAAGGGCTAACTAGTGCAGATGAACCACTAGTCCAGCTAGCAGACATGCTTGCAGAATGGCTCCTTCTGCGATGAGGCAACTGGGCGCTATTTTCATCATGCTCTTCCAGAGTGTACCACTGTGGCTGGAAAATAGTGCAAACATGGGAATTATGTGGAGGACATACTAGAAAATGTGTTTTACTTGAAAATATTCACATGGGAATTATGTGCAGAATTATTTCCTGTGTGGTTTCTGGAGCCCCATTGTGGGAAAAACAAGAACAGACCCATTACCTCCCAAATAGGCATGTCGTAAAAGTCTACTAATTAGGGATTTCTTTTGAAGTTGGAGTATATCTGCCCTATAGGCAAGGAATCAATAGTCTGTATAGGAATAAACTCACAGGGAGCAAGTACAGCGGGGATCTACCAGTCGTCAGTAGAAATTATCCTCGTCGACACACGTTTCGGCCCACGATTCCTAGACGTATTCGGAGGTGGGCCCACCTGAGTTCATGACGCTCAGGGCTGGTTCCCCGCTGCACGGAATTACCGGATGGTGTTATACTTTCGGCCAGAGACAAGACGACTTGGTGGTTTCGAAGGAGGTACTGTGAGATAAGAAGCCGCCGCGGCAGCGTAATTAAAACAGTCCGCATGCCTGGACGACCGAGCGACAAGCTTATTTTGGTTTACCGGACACATGTTGAACTTGTATTAGCAGTTGGCAGAGGAACACTGGCAGACAACTCGGACACGATGGACTTTCAAAGGGATGAGAAACTCTTTTCCGCTAAACTCCCGGACAAGCTCACCGAGGCCCGTCCCCTACGTTGTTGCGCTGCGTCCAAAGCCAGCTAGAGGCCCTTTCGGCCACCTCTCCCAGTTTTTTTAGTGTTGGTTTCCGTTCATTACCGCGCAATCCTAGTTCTTTCACCACATTGTAGAGCGAAGTGGAAACGAGGCCTCTCGCTCTCACTTCGACGGCAAAAACCCGTACTATGTAAGCCTCGTTTCTCCTCAAACCGGCTGCTAAATCACTGTACTTCTCGAGCTTGTACAAATGATTCTCCTCCATACGCGACTCAAACGGGACCGTCAACTCAATCAGGATGAGCTGCCGTTTTTGCGCAGAATGGAGAACGATGTCCGGTCGCAGGCCGGTTTTACGGATCAACTCGGCCTGGCAGATCAACCGCCAGTAACCAGTCCCTCGCAGAGTCTAGCACAGATGGAGCGAATGCGTTTTTGTTGACCTTACCAATTGGAACCTGCCCAGCCTTGAGGAAACGAATGGGGGCGCTACTAGAACTGGCTTTGGCGTTAGCCCTCATTCTAGCCTGGTCGACAACGGCTGCTAACTCTTTTAGCACCTTGTTGTGGCGCCAGGTATATCGGCCTTGACCTAGAGCTTTCCTGCACGCGGACAGGACGTGCTAGAGAGTTTGCTTCGATTTGCACAGCGGGCAAGTCGGATCGTTGGTCGCAGACCATTTAACCATGTTAACACCGGACGGTAATACATCGTACGCCGAACGAACGATAAAGCTCAGTCGCAGCGGGGTCATCCGCCAGATCTTACCCCATGTGAGTATTCTCGGCAATGCGCTCTCCAGGCTGACCCAATGGCCCTGCTGCGACTGCTGGGCTACTTTCTGAACCCGAACCTCGTTTTCGTTGTCCCTCACCGTTTGTATCACCATGTCTCGGCGCTCTTTGACTGAGGCCTTTGACCACCAATTGACTTTCCCGTGCCCTAGGCCTCGACGGTCGGTTTGTGTGTAACCCATTATCTCTCTCAACTTTAGTGCGTTCTGAGCAGATTCTATCGCATCGAGGACTCTCCACTTGGTTCCAGTCTTTAGAGCGGGCTGGACAGCGGTGACATTCGGGTCTGAAGACTTGCGCAAAAGCATGGCGAGTCTTACCTTGCCGACTTTAAACTCTTCGGTTATCGACTTGAACGGAAGTACCAGCTTAGCCTGTTTACAATACAGAGCCACGTCGGTCAGACAAGGCGGTGCACCAATCCACTTTCTCAAGGCTGTGTTGATTTTCTTTTCCATGGTTTCCACTGCAGTCATCGTCACCTCGTAGACTAGTAGTGGCCATAGGAGCTTTGGAATCAACATGAATTGGAGACACCATACCTTGAATTTTCCGATCAGCCTGCATCGCTCGATCGCGAGCAGGCCTGTAGCCAGTGACTCATGTATTCGCCGGACTTCCGCTCTGTCAGCTAACTTCGAATCGTAAACGCGACCGAGACTCTTCACCGGTTCCTCCAGAACCGTGGGGATCTTGTTCCTTGCCACCGTAAAACTGGTTGCCACCACTCGAACCTTATTGATTGACAGACTCCTCGACTTCTGCGGTTTGAACTGCATACCGCTCCATTGGACCACCGCGTCCAATCTTTCCAGGATCGTGCGGGCAGACTCCTCGCTGCCCGTTATAATAGTCGTGTCACCCATAAAGGCACGTAATGGTGGCATCCAGTGGTCCCCAATTTGAAGGCCCTGTCCGTAGCCGGCCGCCCCGTCTAACATGATCTGCATTGCCATGACAAATAGTATGGGCGTGATCGTACAGCCCATAGCTATCCCAATCTGCAACTCAGTCCACCTCATGGTAAACGTCGAGGTAGAGAAGCGCAAAGCGAACTTGGAGAAATATTGCTCGACCATTTGACTGATCTGTGCCGGTACGTGAAACATGCGAAGGGCTCGCCACAGTAGCCTATGGGGGACTGCCCCGTAGGCGTTGGCTAAGTCCAACCATATAACGTGCAATTGAGTTCTCTCATGCTTGGCTCTCTGGATAGCCTCCCAAATCATGGTCGCGTGTTCAAGGCACCCAGGAACGCCTGGAATGCCACCCTTCTGAACACTCGTATCTATGTACTTGTTAGTCATCAGATACTGTGTGAGCCGGCGAGCCATGACTGAGAAGAATATCTTACCCTCGACATTCAACAGCGAGATGGGCCTGAATTGGGAAAGACTCTTCGAGTCCTGCTCTTTGGGAATGTAGACCCCATTTGCCTTTGACCACTCTGGACATGTGTGGTTGCGGATCCACGCTTGTCTCAACAAGACGTGAAGCATTTTCAGGATTTTCGGGCAACGCTTGTAAAAAACGTACGGGACACCGTTCGGACCTGGGGCAGACTTGCCGCTGGCCTTTTTCACAACGTCCTCAACCTCAGACCAAAGGGAAGGTACCATTTTAAATGGTACCTTCGGCACCGAAGGCTGTTTAAGACCGCTAAGGATCTCTGGATTGTCATCGAGAGGCTCTCTCCTCTTTTTATCAGAGTACATCTTGCGTAGATGTAGCTCTAGTTCTTCCTGACTGACAACCAGAGTCCCAGACTTCGGTTGCTCGAATAGACCTCGGGCAAACTGGAGTATATCTGCCCTAGAGGCAAGGAATCAATAGACTGTATATAAATAAGCGGGATCTGCAAAGCGGATGTTCCCGCAACACTCAGGTTCTGAAATAAGAATACAGTCTAGAAGTGGATGAGCAACCAGAACTTTGTAAACTCCAGTAGAAAGTTCTGGTTGTTCATCCACTTCTGGACTTTAATTTTGTTCTAGAATTTGAGTTTTGCATGCACATCCATTCTAAAGATCTGGCTTAATATGATTACAGACTGTTGGTTCCTTAGCTCTCAGACAGATGCACTCCGAAACACCCCTTATTAGTGGCCTCCTACAACATGTTGGTTATGGGTCCAGTCAGTCTATTCAGTGTTCTTCAAAATGGAGCTTCAGAACCCACATGGGGAATGTGAGTGTAGTGTACCACATGAATTTTGTGCAGGACATATGGAAACAATTATTTTTACTTCAGTATACGGTTAACATTAGATTATACATAGAGCATGCTGGGAAAGTGTGTTTCAATCTGTTGTAATGTTAACATGGAAAGCTGTTTCACTGTCTGGCTAACATTCCAAGGATCATATTGACTCTTCACAGATGTTAAGTTTCAGAACCAGTGTTGCACACCTTTTAAGTTTTCGAAAAAATGTGCAAACCAACCAACTAACTCCATCAGTTATTGTCGTCCCCTTGTGGAATGCAATTTATCTCTATTTTTAAGCCCCATTCTGGCTTTTGCTGCGAGCCCTAAATATAGCCCGGCCAGAAATATGGACTAACGGTTGAATGAGGTTTCTGAGACCTCTCCACAGGTGATCCTCATCCTTGTAGTGGCACCGGGTGTTTGTCGCTTTGTGTGATGTCCTGGTGGGGTACAACTTACCAGCCTACCAACTAACCAGCCATATCAGTCAAACCAACAATGAAGAAACCAACCAAGCAATTAGCTCAAGAAATAATAAAAAAACCAGTAAGCTGAATAAAAAGTCAACCAATAAACCATCAACTAAAACTCAGTCACTCTAGGAAAAAAAAAACCAGCCAGCTTACTGATCAACCAACCCACCATTAAATCAAGAAACCAACGAACAACTGATTAATCAACCTAAATATCAGCAAGCCAACCAACAACCAGTTAATCAATCATCTAATCAGATTGGCCAGCCAACTAACTGATCATTCAACCAACCAATCTAAACATCAGCAAGCCAACCAACAACCAATTAATCAATTAACTAAACAGATTGGCTAACCAAATAACTGATCAAACAGTTAATTAACCATCATCTCATCATCCTGTTCCCTGTCAGACAATCATCCAATCAGTTTGGCCAACCAACCAACTGATCAGTCAGCTAATTAACCTCTCATCATCCTGTGCTCTATAAGGCAGTGTAGCTGCTCAGATCTTTCCATAAATCTTAGTCCCTGGTATTCCTAATGATTCCACTGATGACATTTCTCCATGCCATTGCTTCAAGTCCTCAAACATTGTTTCTCTTGGTCTGCCTCTACTTTTTCCACCTTTGATCTTTCCAGTCACTGCAATGTTCTCCAATGACCCTCATCTCCTCACTGACTGCTTCTTTCATATAGCTGTTTATAGTTTTCCTATTTCATCAGCAATTTCTATACATTCATTATTAGTTACCGTGGCTGTCCATGGTATCTGTAACATGTGTCTTAACCAATCCATCAACAATTCTAAAACAGGGCCACCATGACCAGTTAGACACACAGAAAACATACAGAAAACATACAGAAAACACACAGAAAACATACAGAAAACACACAGAAAACACACAGAAAACACACAGAAAACATACAGAAAACACACAGAAAATACACAGAAAACAAAAATAAGCAGTTGTGTATTCTACAAAATCACAATATTTTATGTTAACACAAAGTACCTGATTGTCTAGCTGTGCTTGTGCTAAATCAAGCAACACCTCACCGACAAAAATGTCACAGCCATCTTCGTAACTCCACACAGTCAGCTGCAGAGCTTTACTGGCCAGCTGTAACGGAGAATTTTTGGTAAATTAAATTTAAAAAATGTTGTACAAAGTTACACATTTATGCTATTAATTTCAGTTAATTAACCATCACCTCCTCATCCTGTGCTCTGTAAGGCAATCATCAAATCACATTGGCCAACCGAACAACTGATTAGTCAGCTTGATCAGCAGAACAAGTGGTTTGGTCATCTTGATGGAATGAAACAACATCAAATACCATCACAGGCACTACATCTCAGAAGATTAGCTTCAAGAGCAAGAGGACAGCCACAAAAAAATGGATCAACAACATTAAACACACTTTACACCTTCATGAAATGAGAATAACCAGTGCTAGCCAGCGTGCACTGAATCGCAAATTATTCTTTCCCATGACACTTAATGGCAGAAGTGGTTGATGATAATGAGTTAGTTAATTGGCTGATAATCCTCATCACACATCAAACAAATCCACAAGTGTTTGGATCCCATCTTTAATATCTCCATCAGCATATGGCAACTGATAACACCAGTTCTGTGTTGGTTTACTATCCTTTGTTGCCACTCTGTAGTGTTACTATTTGGCAACACCTCTTTTGACCAGAAGTTCTTGTAGTCTTGTCAAATTTGCTGATTCATTGTCATCTCCTGAATCATCTACTCGTCCTACTTCCTTGAGACCAATGGGAAAAAATCAGCCTCATCCATTTCACATCCTGTGCCTACCATGGCCCTGTCAGCAAGCCAGTCTGCTCATTCTTTCCCTCTTACCCCACCGTGTCCTTGCACAGAAATTAAACTGATTCCTGTCAGACAATATTTCCTCAGAGACTCCAACCATTGCCTTTTAACCCATCCTATCTCGATTATGCTATTAATATTTTCCCCGTTATTAATTAATTAATATTTAAATAATTTGTCTTCTTCTGTTTAATTCTTCTTCTTCATTTTAATTATTAATATTAATTGCACATCTGTTAAGAGTGAAAATGAAAACACAGAGAGAGACAGACAAACGGAAGATGAAGGATTGAAGGAATCACAGACAACCTAAGACTTTACATCATCACAGAATATCAAGCAACCAAGTGTGCCCAAACTCAGTTTTTGATCATCTTTTTAAATTCTAGGCCAAGTGGCACAAAGCAGATACTGATGAAAAAAGAACTCGTTAAGAGATACATAAATAGTAAACTTAGCCCCTGATTTAAATTGCACAAAGCACACTATCATGTTTGACTGATGGTAAGAAAAACAAATTAAATAATTTACTGATTGGCACTCATAGATGCTGGAAGCCATGGTGGCAAAATGGATAGACATGCCAACTATGGCCTAAAGGTGTTGTGATAAAATCTGCATCAAGTCGAATTTTTTTCTTCAAAAAGAACTTGGCTCCCAGGTTGACCAAGCCTAAAATGAGTATAGGGTAAAGTCTTGGAAAGTAAAGGTGGCCGGCCGGATGTTAACCACATCACCCATCAGGGAAATGATTGGTCTATAAAGTCTAGCATCATATGCCCCCTCCATTACTGCTGTAAAGAGAGTCTTTTTCTCACTTCATTACTCACAGAGACACAAGAAAAAAGCAACAGGAAAGGACATACTTATTCTTTTCTCTGCTCCTGGAATGCCTCGTGGCATCAGGGCAGGTAGAGATCTCTGTTCAATTCGTCTAAAGAACTTTTCAGTGTCGATGATGTTTCTGCAGTCCATATTCTCTTGGTCGATCTCTGAATCTGTTACCATTGTATCTGAGTAACACTGCTCTCTGTGGTACCCTGTCTGATGCCAGTCTAGTTACATGACCAAACCATTTGATTTGTTGTCAACTTATAAAGTTCAGTATTGGTTCTGTGCTGACTCTCCTCCTGATATCATCATTCCTAAGCCGACCTTTCCTCATACACCTAGCAAAGTACGTAAACATTTCATTTCTGTTATTATTGTTTTCCGTCTGTCTACTGAAGACAGTGTCCATGTTTGACGTTGATAGCATAGCACTGGTAAGAATATGGTGTTGAACAGTGTTCTTTCAGTGTTCATATTCACATATATTCATATACATGAGGACATACTGGACAACTTAAAAACCAAAAAGCTATAGCAACCACACAAGGAATCGAAGTTGTGTATTACACAATGATTTTTCCTTTTTCCAGTGTATATTAATTTTGAAAACATGTGTGCATGCATGCAACCATGCACACGCACATGCATGCACGCACACACAAACAACACATAAATATGAGAAAGTCACCTCAGTTAAAGAAATAGAATCCAATAAAAATGTTTGTTCCCATTCTGGATGGCTGGTGGAAGTTTTTAATTCGGTTTCCAGGCTATCATGACTACTAAAAAATAAAAATACATAAAAATGAGGATTGACTAAATATGCATTGTAGAACATAGGATTTCAGAGAGTTATCTTGGAATTTTTTTTCCTACAACTTTTGGTATTGACATTTTGGATAAATTGTGTTGATGATATCCAACTCTGTCTTAGATCATCCGGCATAATTTTCTTTGATCTACTTTTGTCCCTTCTTCCACTGATCACAAAGCTTGCCACTCTGCTCAATGCAATCGAAGCTTCTCTTGTAAGGTCACAGGTAGTGAGCATACTTTGGATCTTTTCTCCAGGCCATGCCAGCATGGTGGGGAATGAACAGGTGGACAGATTGGCTGGTCGGCATTGCTGGGAGGTGAATTGATACATGACAAGGTTTATGTGGTTAGAGCCATTTAGGAACAAGTAACGAAGTCAGAAGAGAAGCTAGATTATTGTGGGCTAGAGATAATGATGCACCTGGGTGTGTCTAGAGGGTTTGGCCAGCACACTATGCTTAGAGGAAAGGCTAGATGGACATACAACCAGACTATGACCAGCACCATTAGTTTTGGAACTCTGCACTAGCTGCTAAGGATTGGGACTGAGCGCATTAGGGAATAACCCTAGTGCTGTGATGTCAATTCTTGACTAAGTTCAACTCAGCTCCACTGATCACGATGTTCTCCAGTGTCTCTCTGGCCTTTACCTGCCTTATGTCCTGTTATGTTACCATGATCAACATAACTGCATGCTGTGTACGTCCATGCACGCCCAGTCCTCATGCAGCAACCATCCAAGGGTATCTCTGTCCACTGACCACATACAAAGTTAGTTATAATCGATGAAATTCTGACCCCAAAGATAGCATAGGCCTGCTTTACTTGCAGGTCATGTGATTGAGTTAGCATCAGACTTGTCTTTATCTACAAGTCTGGTCTGTACAGCACGCAAGGATGGACAATCTTCACTCGTGATTCAATGCTGTACCTTACTAGGCTGATAAAAAGACTATCATAACTAATGGTTAAAAAAACATTAGCCACTATGCTATTTAGGGTGTCCTATGACTTCCGTTATAAGCTATCTTGGGCATTGCTGCTGGAGCTACAGTGTTTCTGCTTTGTGTGACACTCTCAGCAGGCAGCTGGCTGTTCTGAAGCAGAGAGACTGAGCCATATGCGATAACACCTGGTGTAATGTAGTGGATCCTTTTTACTTTAAACTTGAATTATAAGTGAAGGAGGTTAAAGAACACGGCTTGCTGCTGGTTTTTGTTTTGTTTTACCTTAGAGCATAGTGTTCTAATTTTATAAGAATGTTTCCAAGTCAAATACAAAAACTAACTGTGTCTGTTCAATGAACTCTCAGAATAAATATTAAGAATCATAGTAAGTAAGTACATTTTACCCCACAGGACATCACACAGATCGATAAACACCCAGTGTCACAAGGTGCCACCATTGTGGATGAGGATCACCTGTGGAGAGGTCTCAGAAACCATGTTCTACCGCCAGGCTATATTGAGGCCCCCGGCAAAAACCAGGGTGGGGCTTCAAAATAACGAAAAATTGTGTCCCACATGAGGACGATCTAAGTTAAGGTACAATGCCAATGTCAAGAAACATATCTCATCACAGTATATTTTCTGAATAATGTAACAATATTTTCTACGCAAACTTAAAATCCATAAAACTAGAAATTACTCTACTTGTAAGCAGTAATTAAAATCTTTTAACTGACAAACCTCTTGCCAGGTACTAAACTGATGACAACAAAAGGACTTGGATTCAGAGATTCTGTGTTGTTCACTGAGGCAATGTTTTTGGCTTTGAGAACGGTAATTGCTAAAGTTGACCTGCTAGGTTGATAAAACAGCTTGATCTGAATCTCTCCAATAGTCTGTCGGGATCCTCTTTTTATTTCAATCTGAGAATCAAGACTAGAATTATTGGAATTAAGTGTCTCCAGAATTTTAAATATAACATCTTTAACTTTAGCAAATCTTCTTCTTTCTCTTCCTCCTCTTCTTTTTCCTCCTCCCCTGCCTCTTCTTCTTCTTCTTCTGCTGCTGCTCCTCCCACCTTCTTCTTCTCTTCTTCTTAACTTTCTTTTTAACCACTTCAGGAGTTGAGACAGATAGTAGGTTCTTCTTCCCGCTCTTGTTGCCCCCTTGACCACAAACACATCATGCTTTCGTAGAGTTTCTCTGTTGTCTTTCGATATTGTTCTTGTTCTACCTTTTGTGCTCTACATCCTTCTCTTTTGGTGTATGCCTTGTCTGGCATGGCTCACAAGGCGTTCTCTCTAAGTGGGCAAACCGTTTGATTTGCTGTTTTTCTACTAGGGGAGGTCAATAAGTAAGTCACAAATTGTTATGGGATGCAAGGAAAATGTAATTGGTGGTTTCTAAAGGTGTCATTAGGTGACAGCAACATTGAGCTTTATGTCTCCGTTCATTAGGTGGTGCTAGGTGTTGCATGCACATTCACAACACAGAAACAAATGATGAATGTATATACAGAGTGTACCCTCAAAGAACAACGTGTGGTTGTGCATTTTTGGGAGGCCAAATAAGCTGGCTGCAAAGAACATTTCACAAGAGAAGAAAATGTGAATGCTAATTCATACTGTAAAGTTCTATCAATGCTTTGAGATGCAATTCAAAGAAAACGTCCACGCCTGCTGACTGGAGGAGTATTGCTCCTTCATGACAATGACTGACCACATACGGCTCTGTTAACTCAGGAGAAAATTAGCGGTCTAGGATGGGAACTTTTGGAACATCCACCTTACAGCCTTGACTTAGCCCCTAGGGATTTCCACTATTTGGATCAACCGAAAACCCACCATGGCAGGAAACATTTCGTGAATGATGCCGAAGTTGAATGTGAAGTGAAAATATGCTTAGAAAACACAGCAGGCAGTTCTATGCAGCGGGTTTTGGAGGACTGATAAAACGATAGGACAAGTGCATCGATATTGGTGGAAACTATGTTAAAAATAAAGGGACAGTAAATGTGTAAAAATAAACGGTTTTCAAATGGTTTTCATCTTTATTTGTTTTTTCAACAACCATTTGGGGCTTTCTTATTGACCTCCCCTTATATGTAATTTTGCTGACTTTTTCTCTTATGGCTTTAATCTTGATTGTATATCTCCTGTACACTCCTGCAGCCTTTTGCAAACATATCTTTTCCGTGGTTGCTAATTTTGTATTTTATTTTACAATTAATAAATTTGTAAAAATATGACTCCCTGTGTGTTCCGGGGCCACCTTGTGGGGGAAAAAAAGAACAGACCTGCTGCCACCCTAACAAGCGTGTCATAAAAGGCTACTAACAGGGGGTTTTCTTTGAAGTTAGGATGCATTTGCCTGAAAGGCAATGAACCAACAATCTGCATACACAGAAGTCAGATACGTAAAATGAAAGTGCATGCAACACCCAAGTTCTGGAACAAGACTTAAGTCAAAAGGCAGCCAAACAATCAGACATTTCTGCCAGAGTTACAGCCCGTGAACATGAAGAAATAAAAGAACACATGACTACCAGAATGTGCGGCTACCTGCTAAGAAGTTAGTGAACACTTTAACAGTTTTATGGTCTTTGAGTACTAGAGTCTGAATTTAATGGAAGATAGTTTTAAAAAAAGATGTTCTTGCAGATTTTCGAAAACCTTCTTCTTCTTCAATGCGTGCACTGGCAGTAAACTCCGACAGAAAGTTCTGATTATTTGCCCACATCTAGACTTTAGTCTTCTTCCGGAACCTGAGTGTTGTGTGCCCATCCATTTAACAGATCTGACTCAATTGTATGCAAACTGTTGGTTCCTTGCCTCTCAGGCAGATCACTCCGACTTGGAAGGAAGCTCCCAATTAATCGACTTTTACAACATGCTTGTTGGTGATGCAGCGGGTCCATTCTCGTTTTCCCCACAATGGGGGGCCTGGAACCCACAATGGGGGGTCTGGAACCCACAATGGGGGGTCTGGAACCCACAATGGGGGGCCTGGAACCCACAATGGGGGGCCTGGAACCCACACAGGGAATTCAGATAGTAGTACTAGTACTGAGAAGAGATCGGGGCCTCATCATGTAATATATCAAAAGACAGCAAAAGACCCATAGCAGTAAACCTTTAGTGTGGAGACGACACAGAGATAAAAAAAAACTACCACAATTACATGCAAGTGTGCTAGCCACTCTTTAGTTGTGCTGCCATTATTATTGTTAATTTAATAAATATTCTAGAATTTTTAATTTTTCTTCTTCTTCTTTATGTTCATTGGCTTTAAACTCTGACAGAAGGTTCTACTTGTACAGCCTTTTCTTGTTCCAGAACCTCAATTTTGCATGCAGATCTGTTTTACAGATCTGGTTTATTTGTATGCAGGCTGTTGGCTCCTTGCCTCTCATGCAGATGCACTTTGGCTTTTAGGAAACACCCTTAATTAGTCACCTTATATTACGCTTATTAGGGGGGCAGTGGGTCTATTCCCCCCTCCCCCAAATGGGACACAGAATAAACACAGGGATCTATCTAACTTGATCCTTAAGGATCATTGTTGGAGCTACAGAGTTTAGGCTTTGTGTGATGCCCTTAGTAAGCATTCAGTCATTTTACAGAAAAAAACCAGCCACATAAGATGAAATTTTCTTCTTTATTTTTGTGCATTAACTCGTCAAAGCATAGTCAGCATGTAATGTTGTGGTTTACAGCTAGGCTGTGATTTCTGTGCCTTTCAGCCCAGCAGATCCAGTGTCAGCCTAATTAGTTGCCATTTACAATATTCATGGGCAATGGGTCTCCCCTCCACACACCCATCAAAAACAGGGCACGGAACACACAAGAGGCAGATAAACATAAAGTTAATCCTCTGAGCATTATACTTTTACAAAAAATAAAATTGCAGGACTCACTAAATAAGACAATTGATGGCCAGGTAAGCAAAAGTGTTGTGCAAATAGCATTTAGCAAGGGAGACAAAAACAAAAGAGTGAGCTTGTCCATCGAAGCATGGTTAAAAATGGTCTCATTAAAGATATAATCAGATGTCATAAGATAAGCCAGTAAAACGGATGTACACGCAAAACTCAGGTCAAGGTAAAAACCAAAAGTCCATTTTGGACGAACAACCGTGACTTACCGCCGGAATTCACAGCCGGTGAACAAGAAGAAGAAGAAGAAGATGTCATAAGTATAAACTATAATCATCATCAGCAAATGCCCTGCCCGCCAGCAAAGGTTTTCATGCATCTCCAGAGATTTTGGTCTTTGGTGTTCTGGATCAATGCCAGTGTTGATATTCGTCCAGGCCTCTGTCTTAAGCCATCCACCATTATTTCTTTTGGTCTGCCTCTGCCTCTTTTACCAGTGACATTTCCTGTCATCACAGTATTTTTCAGTGCTCCTTTTCCCATCAAAAGACCAAAGAACTAAGTATAAGGTATTAAAGATATTTATATTTCTAACTATAGATTTTTAAAATTTAGATTTCTTACTGGAGTTCTGGGCAGAATTCTCCTTTTCCCTCCTCTACCCTGTAAGTCTGGACTTTGGCTGGAAGGAAGATCTTTTAAGCGAAAGATAAAAAAAACAACAAAAACATGAGAAACTAATACTCAAACATTGCTAGTTCTGCTTACAACGATTGCTTCGTTTTCATATTTTCATTCTCTCTGCCAGTAGTTTTCTGAAGGTACAGGCCTCGATTAAGGCTGTGGTGCGACACATGTCTTTCATTCATTCATTCAGCTTGGTCTCCACTGGAGTGCTAACTGGCCAGAACTAGGATCTCCCTACTAGTAGAGTGTGTGTCTGCTGCACATGTTAGTTAGTAAGTTAGTCAAGTCAGTTAGTTATGTTAGTTAGTAAGTTAGTAAAGTCAGTTAGTTATGTTAGTTAGTTGGTTAGTAAGTTAGTCAAGTCAATTAGTTATGTTAGTTGGTTAGTAAATTAGTCAAGTCAATTAGCTAAGTTAGTTAGTTGGTTAGTAAGTTAGTAAAGTCAATTAGTTAAGTAAGTTAGTTGGTTAGTTAGTAAGTTAGTAAAGTCAATTAGTTAAGTTAGTTAGTAGGTTGGTTAGTTTGTTAGCTTGTAAGTCAGTTAGTTGTTTAGTTAGCTGGTAAGTTGGTCAGTTAGTTAATTAGTTAGTTGGTTGGTTAGTTAGTTAATTAATTAGTTAGTTGGTTGGTTAGTAAATTAATTAGTTGGTTAGTTAGTTAGTTAATCGAGAGATTATCTAAGCACCAGACGACAGCGGTCATTGTTGTGTTTTCTAACCGCCACTGACTATACATAAAGAGAAGGCAACACATGCTCAGTATTCTAGGATGTATGTCCATGAGGGTTAAGTTGAATTTTAAATGTGAAATGTTGTATGTTGAATGCTGAATTAAGAATTGACATCACAGCACTCAGGACACTCCCATAAGTGCTCAGTCCCCATCTTCAGCAGCAAGTGAAGAGTTCCAATTCCGATGGTACCAGTAATCGTCTGATTGTATATTCGTCTCAGCCTTCCCCTGAGTGTTGATAACTGGCCACGGTAACTCCTCGCAGTGCCATTCTCCTCAGACCGTAGTGATCTACCTGCTCCTCCGCACTGTTCACTCGCTCTTAAAGGCCCCTTTATAATATGTAACTTGTCATACATCAATTCACCACCAAATGGTGCAGATCCAGCCAGTCTATCTGCCTGCTCATTTCCCAACACACCCGCATAACCTGGAGAAAATATCCAAAGGATGCTAACTACATGGGCAAAGTTATGTCCCCTATTTTGAATTGTCTGTATATGGCTGAGGAGCCTGTTGTGTCCAGTTCACAGTCTAAATACAGGGTGTATTTTTAATGACTGTATTTTTTGAAAATATTGCCGTACAGATTTTTGTAATCACCGCCTCCCTGTGTGGGTTCCGGGGCCCTTTTGTAGGGAAAACATGAATAGACCCACTGACTACCCAAAAGAAGAAGAAGCAGTAATCACTGTCTGTGGAGTTAATGCAACATATAATGCTATAGTGTATCTTAGTTTGGGTACTGTTTTCCCATTATAGCTCTATTCAAAATCAATTTTACTAGTTAAATTGCTAACAGTATTAGGATGAGGCACTTAAGTATCAGTAAATGACATCATAAATTGTTGAACATTCATGATCGAATACCTGTCACAATTAAGGAACATATGCTTAACCAAAAATACTCTTTATTCAATAGTTAACACCATTATAGTTAAGATCAGTTTCTAAAACACCAACGTATAGCAGTGATATTCTAAACTAACAGTTACATGGTGCTTGAAACATAACGTAATAGACCAATTTAATTACAGTGTGCAAATAATTGATTTCAAAAAGTATACAGTCATTAAAGACAGATCCTATACAATAGTCTTTTGCTTTCGTGTGAGAAGGTTGACTGAATCTTTAGAATTGTGTTCTGGTTTGAAATGTGTTCAGATTATTTTAACAACTGTCTTGATCTGGTTTTTCTTTTCCTCTTTAGTGTATCCTATATCTAGCTGTCCTATTTTGTTACCAGTTTTCATTAAACAGTCTGCTCTTCATTTCCCTTAATGTTGCAATCACCTTAGATCCCTTAGAGCAGTGGTTCTCAACCTTCTCAGTGTGGCAACCCTTTAATACAGTTTCTCATGTTGTGCCGACACCCCCCCCCCCCCCCCCCCCCAAACATATAGCTTTTTATGGTCTGGAGAGACTGAGGCACCTGGCTGTAACCAAAAAGTCTGGCCAGCTCACTACACTCAGAGGAAAGGCAAGACCGACATATAACCAGAGTGTGACCGGTACCATCAGTACTGGAACTCTGCGCTGGCTGCTGAAGATGAGGATGGAGCATGCATAGGAATGCCCTGAGTGCTGTGATATCAATTCTTGACTCAACTTAACTCAGTGACTGTGTGTTTTGCGATGGTATTTGGCAAACCCCTGTGAAAGGGTCCTTCGACCCAAAATAAAAGGGTCGCAACCCATAGGTTGAAAACCGCTGCCTTAGAGAACAGCCTGCTTGGTCAGCTCATCCCTGGGTTTAAATCTTTCATAACCAAACCAACTCAGCATACACTTAGCATGTGTCAGTACCACACAGATGGTTTTTGTGTGTGTGACTCAACACACACTAGACCATTCATCATCATTATGTAATATGCCCTTTAAAGAAACATCAATCCATACTGGGTAAAACACGGCTGAATAAAGTCAATTCCCTTTTGAACCTTTTAACTCTTTGAGTCCCAAAAAACGCATCATACGTTCATAGATTCCTACCTAGAAGCCCAATGAACGCAAGATGCGCTGATTTTACGTCTTTCTTGACTACCCCTTGGGCCTGTGATGCTAAATCCCCTGGGACTCAAAGAGTTAAGTAAGTTATTTATGTGTCTGTTACAAGAAGTTGCAGAACCAACCACAACGTTTTTTGTGTGGTTGTGATTTAAATAGACAATTTTACACTTAGTAGTTTGCCATTGCTTTCTGACCTTTTACATAACATAACCAGTCATGAAGATTATCAAGCATTAACCAGATCCCTTTCCACATGCAATTTCACACTTCAGGTGACTTCATTGTTCTTTATTCACAACTGTAACAGCGGCCTAATGGGCAGAATACTGAGCTCTCGGTATGAAAATCTATGATGAAAATCTATGATGAAAATCTATGATGAAAATCTATGATGAAAATCTATGATGAAAATCTATGATGAAAGTCTATGATGAAAATCTATGATGAAAATCTATGATGAAAATCTATGATGAAAATCTATGATGAAAATCTATGATGAAAATCTATAATAAAAATCTATGATGAAAATCTATGATGAAATCAATGATGAAAATCTATAATAAAAATCTATAATGAAAATCTATAATGAAAATCTATGATGAAAATCTGTAATTAAAATGTATGAAGAAAATCTATGATGAAAATCTATGATGAAAATCTATAATGAAAATCTATGATGAAAATCTATGATGAAAATCTATGATGGAAATCCATGTTGAAAATCCATTATGAAAATCTATGATAAAAATCTATGATGAAAATCTATGATGAAAATCTATAATGAAAATCTATGATGAAAATCCATTATGAAAATCCATGATGAAAATCTATGAAGAAAATCTATGATGAAAAACCACTTTTAGTTCTGAGATCCCATTATGAGGAAGAGAAAAAAAGAATAGAATCACTGCTCCTTAACAAGCATGCAGTGAAAGGCAACTAATTAACATGTTGCTGAAATCAGATAATCAGATGTGCTGGGCCAAAAACCCATATATCACAGCCTAGCTGTAAATTACAACACAATGAGCCAACTGCATATAACATATCACAAATCTAAAGTTAACATGTTATAATTCACACATCTAAAGTGAAGATATTACCTGGTGATATCACAAGAGGGCGTTCAGAAAAAGACTGGCTGTCTTTACTGAAATGGAATAAGAAATAACATTTACTAAAGTACTAAAGCCTTTTGAACTTGCATATTCCCTGTGTGGGTTTCAGAGCCCAATTGTGGGGTCTCTATGTGGGAAAAACTGGAACAGACCTATTACCCCCTAACAAGCACGTTTCTGGTCTAAACTGGAGGACTAGGCATGGCAGAATGTTAAGCTTTGAAGTTGTTTTGCTTCCAACAGCTCTTTGCTAATGTAGTTTTCACATATGGATGGTAGTCTATGGATTCGCTGCCTGAGCTATTGAGCTTAGTGCAGCACTGTGAGCTGTGTTTTTCAAGTGGAATGCTTTTCATTAGTGCAGCGGTCGAGTTGTGGTATTCAATATTGTCGGTAGCCGGTTTATGAGTGGGCTGTTGAAATACCTTATGAAATAATTCTACGTATGTATAGTCAACTTATCATACCTGACTACTTGCATCAACAACAAACTGCATTTCTGGTGATGACCGTTGGCTTTAGCACCTCTAGCAACTGCCATATGCATTTACTGCCTGTGTATATTTCTGGATTGTGCACGGACTCATTGTATGTTCACCAGTTTTTAAATGGGACAGAGAGGGACATTTCATTTGATTTTCACTGGCACAGGAACGGAGCAAGTATGGGGAAACCCGATTACAGTGAAGTTGAAACCTCGACTAAGAGTAAGCATGCAGTAAGAGTTGACTAATTATTGATGTTTCATTTGAAGTCAGAGAGAAACCAACAGTCTGCACACAAATAAGCCAAATCTGTGAAATGGATGTGCATACAAAAGAGGTTTTGGAACAAGATACAAGTTTAGAAGTGGATGGACAACCATATCTTTTTGCAACAGTTTACAGCCAGTGAATGCTAAGAAAAAGAACATGATATCAAGCTTTTTGTCAAGTATGCTTGCTGGCCAATACACATGCATGGGCCCAGATCAAGTATAAATTGAACAACAACAAAAAAAAAGTGTAGGTGGGGGGAGGATTAAGGGCTGCATTGCTAGTGCTGTTGCCATGGACTGTTCAGGTTAGTTTATTTCTGCCTCTGAGAAAAAAAAAATCCATGAACAGGGCAGCCGAGAGAGACAGCCGAGAGAGACAGCTGAAAGAGAGACAGCCAAGACATACAGCTGAGAGAGACAGCCAAGAGAGACAGCCGAGAGAGACAGCCGAGAGAGACAGCCGAGAGAAACAGCCAAGAGAGACAGCCGAGAGAGACAGCCGAGAGAGACAGCCGAGAGAGACAGCCGAGAGAGACAGCCGAGAGAGGCAGCCAAGAGAGACAGCCAAGAGAGACAGCCAATAGAGACAGCCAAGAGAGACAGCCAAGAGAGACAGCCAAGAGGGACAGCCCAGAGGGACAGCCCAGAGAGAGAGAGAGAGCCAAAGGAGACAGCCCAGAGAGACAGCCCAGAGAGACAGCCAAGAGAGACAGCCCAGAGAGACAGCTGAGAGAGACAGCTGAGAGAGACAGCAGAGCGAGACAGCCGAGAGAGAGACAGCTGAGAGAGACAGCCAAGAGAGACAGCAAAGAGAGACAGCTGAGAGAGACTGTCAAGAGAGACATCTGAGAGAGAGAGACAGCTGAGAGAGACAGTCGAGAGAGACAGCCAATAGAGACAGCCGAGAGAGACAGCCAAGAGAGACAGCCAAGAGGGACAGCCCAGAGGGACAGCCCAGAGGGACAGCCTAGAGAGAGAGCCAAGAGAGACAGCCCAGAGAGACAGCCCAGAGAGACAGCCAAGAGAGACAGCAGAGCGAGACAGCTGAGAGAGACAGCTGAGAGAGACAGCCGAGAGAGACAGCGAGAGAGAGACAGCTGAGAGAGACAGCTGAAAGAGACAGCCGAAAGAGACAGTCAAGCGAGCAGCCGAGAGAGACACCAGCACAAAAGTCAATTATTAAAAAATCTCTTGATGCAGATTCAAACCTAAGACGTTTGGGCCAACAAGCCAGCATCAAGCTACTGCATGCCCATAGCTCTGGATGAGATATACACAATGTAACAATCAGTACTCACCCGTCTGTGACAGGATTCACAATCAGTACTGTCTGATGGTGAACAAGGGAAGTTACAGCAGTCACAAAGTCAAATGTCTGCCCACGCAAAATCTGACCATTCCATTCTAGAACTTCTTGACCTGATATGTATCACAGAGAAAGAAAATGCAATCAATATAGTAAGTGTGCGCTTGTAGGAAATCTTACTTACTAAGTAAGTATATAGTTACACTGCCTAGCTAGTGTTAAGTGCATGACACAACACTTTGAGCGAAGGATTTCATTTTGAATACTTTTTCGGCTGTGTCCAACATAGTTTGAGTTTTGAACTCCAGTTTGAGAAAATGGTGAGTAGCCTGTTGCCGGAGAACTCTTTCAGGCCCCTGAATTTTGACACACTTGGCACACAGTAACTTCCCTTTACAAAAACGGCAGAGGGGTGGTGTACAAAAAAGGCAATAGAGAATGTAATATACTTCTAATTCCTACAAAAGTATATATTTTTTTAAAGAAAAATGAATGTACATTTTGATTATGATAATAAGTGTATATTTAATACTGCTTACAAACATGTCTGTTATTTTGGAATCCTAACTATCAAGGTGTTCTGAAGATTCTCATAACGCTTTGCAATGTTGTCAGCACCGTTTATGTATTTGATGGAAGGTTTCTGCATGTTTGAATAAAAACAGCATTTTATTTGTTTTTTTATCAAGGATTTTTATCTTCTATGTTAAATGTTGAACACTGAATTGAGAATCAACATCATGCACTTGGGACACCCTCCATAAGAGCTCCATCGGCAGAAAGTGAAGAGTTACACTTCTGATGGTACCATTAACTGATTGAATATCCGTCTCGCCCTTCCTTTGAGTGTTGAGCGTCGACCAGATCCCCTAGTAAGTCCCTGTAGGGCCATTCTCCTCAGACCGTAATGATCTATTTGTGCTTCCACACTGTTCACTCTCTCCCAAAAGGCCCTCACAACATCTAGCATATCATACTATATCAGTTCACCACCAAGTGGTGCAGAACTGGCCAGTCTATCTGCCTGCTCATTTCTCAACACACCAGCATAGCCTGAAGACAATATCCAAAGGATGCTCACTAACAGGGACCTCTGAAGGGATGCTTGCCACCCTGCATGCAGCATGCCTGTCTCCACCTGTCTCAACATGCTCTATGAGTCAGTTTATCTTCTATAAGTTTCTTTAACCCTCTCAGCTCTAGAATGTTACAATGGAAATAACCAAAATGAACTGATCTATGGTGAGTTAAAACCAACATCACAACACCCAGAATATTCTCATAAATGCTTCATCCCATCTTCAGCAACCAACTAATGCTGTTCTAACCATCATCATCAAGTGCCTTGCCAACTGACATTGGCGATATTGCCTCTCCACAATCTGCCACTGTCAAGAATCTTCTCACGCTGTTTTCCTCTGTCTCTCTTTCCACAGATCTTTCAAACAGTCAAAACATGTTCCTTTTTCCCTCTTCTCATAACATGACTAAAAAATGTTGACTGTCTCTTTCTGATGTTTGTGATAAGTTGTCTTTGAGCATTCGCGTCTTTCAAAACATCTGGGTTGCTTTTCCTAGCTGTCCAATGAATTCTAAGGATTCTTCTGTAAAACCAAATCTCTGCGGACTAGAAGATTTCTAATACCAGTGGTTACAAAAAATGTACAAAGAAATCATCAATGCATTTCTTCCAAAGAGATTAAAGAAACTTTGTCAGCATTCTGAATTATCGTTTGACAGAACATAGAAAATAAGAGAATATAATGTCTGATCTAAGAACCAGGTAACCAGACCTCCAGGGCGATCCAGGGTCTGCTGGGAAGACAACATCTGACAGTCCCTAACTGACAGAGGACTGGAATGGAACAAAGCCAGGAAGAAAACTGCTGATAGAGATGTCTGGCGATCTCTCTGGCAAACCTCTGCACCCCAAGTTAGAAGAGGAGCAACTAAGTAAGTAAGTAATGTCTGATAGATGGGATACTAGAGGAAGAGTCTATGAAACATCATTGGCTGCTAAGGACCATAAAAGTGAACATGCCTGCAATGTGGAAGTTATAGCCAAGTCATGGCAGTCGCCCCGATGTTGTCCATGCATTTTTGTTAATCCTCAGCATCATCAACTTCCAATTCAGCTGCTAAATGTCATAAGCAGGAATAGTTTGAAGTAAATGGCTTAATAGGTGGTACTGGCCACTGTCATTCTGTTTCACTGTACACTGTCTTTGTTGTCCCCAGGAGTCTCCATGGCAAAGTCGTCAAGCCGTTTGCCTCGTGCTCTGAAGGTCATGGGTTCATTTTATGGCTGCGCCCTTCAGTTCATGAGTGAAAATTTTACGGAGATCCCTGGGGACTGTCGCCGGAGCTACAGATTTGTGCTCTGCGTGGAGCTCTCGGCAGGTGGCTAGCCATTCTGCGGAGAGAGACCGAGTCATATGGGATAAAACGTGGAGTAATGAAATCAATCTTCTTGACTTTAATTTTAACTTGAACATCTTCTCCTTGGTGCCATTAAGCTCTCACATCATATTTCTTTAGTTTTAGTCAGAGCTTTTTTCTACAAAGAAAGGTGAAGTGTCTCAAAAACGGTGCCAGCGCCCATAACAAATATGCAAACTACAATAGTACTGAAAACAATATGCCCAAAATGTTGCTGGTACTGTGTACTGTTGCGTACCACTAGAAAAATATAACTCGCTATAGTACCTGTGTTGGTAGCTATAGTATCTGTGTTGGTAGCTATAGTATCTGTGTTGGTAGCTATAGTATCTGTGTTGGTAGCTATAGTATCTGTGTTGGTAGCTATAGTACCTGTGTTGGTAGCTATAGTACCTGTGTTGGTAACTATAGTACCTGTGTTGGTAACTATAGTATCTGTGTTGGTAGCTATAGTATCTGTGTTGGTAGCTATAGTATCTGTGTTGGTAGCTATAGTACCTGTGTTAGTAGCTATAGTATCTGTGTTGGTAGCTATAGTATCTGTGTTGGTAGCTATAGTATCTGTGTTGGTAGCTATAGTATCTGTGTTGGTAGCTATAGGATCTGTGTTGGTAGCTATAGTATCTGAGTTGGTAACTATAGGATCTGTGTTGGTAGCTATAGTACCTGTGTTGGTAGCTATAGTATCTGAGTTGGTAACTATAGGATCTGTGTTGGTAGCTATAGTATCTGTGTTGGTAGCTATAGTATCTGTGTTGGTAGCTATAGTATCTGTGTTGGTGCTATAGTCTGTGGTGGTAGCTATAGTATCTGTGTTGGTAGCTATATAGTAGCTCTGTATCTGTGTTGGTAGCTATAGTATCTGTGTTGGTAGCTATAGTATCTGTGTTGGTAGCTATAGGATCTGTGTTGGTAGCTATAGTATCTGTGTTGGTAGCTATAGTATCTGTGTTGGTAGCTATAGTATCTGTGTTGGTAGCTATAGTATCTGTGTTGGTAGCTATAGTATCTGTGTTGGTAGCTATAGTATCTGTGTTGGTAGCTATAGTATCTGTGTTGGTAGCTATGTATCTGTGTTGGTAGCTATAGTATCTGTGTTGGTAGCTATAGTATCTGTGTTGGTAGCTATAGTACCTGTGTTGGTAGCTATAGTATCTGTGTTGGTAGCTATAGTATCTGTGTTGGTAGCTATAGTATCTGTGTTGGTAGCTATAGTACCTGCTATAGTATCTGTGTTGGTAGCTATAGTATCTGTGTTGGTAGCTATAGTATCTGTGTTGGTAGCTATAGTCTCTGTTGGGTAGCCTGTATCTGTTGGTAGCTATAGTACCTGTGTTGGTAGCTATAGTATCTGTGTTGGTAGCTATAGTATCTGTGTTGGTAGCTATAGTATCTGTGTTGGTAGCTATAGTATCTGTGTTGGGTAGCTATAGTAGTCTGTGTTGGTAGCTATAGTATCTGTGTTGGTAGCTATAGTTGGTAGCTATAGTATCTGTGTTGGTAGCTATAGTATCTGTGTTGGTAGCTATAGTATCTGTGTTGGTAGCTATAGTATCTGTGTTGGTAGCTATAGTATCTGTGTTGGTAGCTATAGTATCTGTGTTGGTAGCTATAGTATATCTGTGTTGGTAGCTATAGTATAGTATCTGTGTGGTAGCTATAGTATCTGTGTTGGTAGCTATAGTATCTGTGTTGGTAGCTATAGTAGTAGCTATAGTATCTGTGTTGGTAGCTACCTGTAGCTATAGTATCTGTGTTGGTAGCTATAGTAGTATCTGCTATGTTGGTAGCTATAGTATAGCTATAGTATCTGTGTTGGTAGCTATAGTATCTGTGTTGGTAGCTATAGTACCTGTGTTGGTAGCTATAGTATCTGTGTTGGTAGCTATAGTATCTGTGTTGGTAGCTATAGTATCCTGTGTTGGTAGCTATAGTATCTGTGTTGGTAGCTATAGTATCTGTGTTGGTAGCTATAGTATCTGTGTTGGTAGCTATAGTATCTGTGTTGGTCTGTGTGTTGGTAGCTATAGTATCTGTGTTGGTAGCTATAGTATCTGTGTTGGTAGCTATAGTAGTAGTCTGTGTTGGTAGCTATAGTATCTGTGTTGTAGCTATAGTATCTGTGTTGGTAGCTATAGTATCTGTGTTGGTAGCTATAGTATCTGTGTTGGTAGCTATAGTATCTGTGTTGGTAGCTATAGTATCTGTGTTGGTAGCTATAGTAGTACCTGTGTTGGTAGCTAGTATCTGTGTAGTATAGTATCTGTGTTGGTAGCTATAGTATCTGTGTTGGTAGCTATAGTATCTGTGTTGGTAGCTATAGTATCTGTGTTGGTAGCTATAGTATCTGTGTTGGTAGCTATAGTATCTGTGTTGGTAGCTATAGTATCTGTGTTGGTAGCTATAGTATCTGTGTTGGGTATATAGTATCTGTGTTGGTAGCTATAGTATCTGTGTTGGTAGCTATAGTATCTGTGTTGGTAGCTATAGTATCTGTGTTGGTAGCTATAGTATCTGTGTTGGTAGCTATAGTTGTTGGTAGCTATAGTATCTGTGTTGGTAGCTATAGTAGTATCTGTGTTGGTAGCTATAGTATCTGTGTTGGTAGCTATAGTATCTGTGTTGGTAGCTATAGTATCTGTGTTGGTAGCTATAGTATCTGTGTTGGTAGCTA